TTAATCATTTTTGCGGTAACTTTTATCAATCTCAAGGTTTGTCTGCTTATTAATTTTGGTCATTAATGGCATAGACATTTGAACATCCTGTTTTATTGAAAAAAATAAATCATGAGTTGTATCAGATGTTCCTTTAAAGTCAGGTGTCCATTCTTTTTTTTTCCTCTATCAAATGTGGTTTTTATTCAACTGACAAGCACTTTTCTACAGCTGCACTTGTGGAACATCACATGGCAAAAACAGGTTGCTTTTTACTCTAGGCTTTTTTTTTCCTTTTTTAAACCTTATTAAAAATGAGATTGGTCCTAAAAACATAGAAAGAAAGAAATTTAAATTCACAAAAAACTGTACATTATCAAAAATTCACTAAAACACCACATTTGGTAATATAAAAAGTCAGTCCCTTTTGTTGTAAAAGGAACATTGAAACTTGGTGTTGATGGTGTGGTTTTTTAAGCTGTTACCAGACTAATGGGGAGGGAAATAGAGGGGTTGGGGTGGGCTGTTCTTTTACCTTAACCTGCCTTCCTTAACAAATACACAATATGGAAAATCCACCTAACAGGTGTTCATTCTTGAGATATGAATTTGTCATTGCTAATACTTTTTACGCTTAGAGGAGTCAGTTTTAGAAGTGTTTTTCTTTCTGAACAAATATCTTTAAGATACTTTTTCTCAGTCCCAGGACATAGTATTTATTTGGACACCCTACCCCGTTTAATTCCTTTGACTAAATGTAGCTTATCAAGGGAGTTTTTATGAGGCTTAGAGACTGCCTGAATACTTTAATCAAGTTTTTTAATACAGTGCTAATCTCTGATTCATTTTCCCTGATCTATTTCTGCCTCAAGATGACTAAAGAAAATGAGGGGCATACCTGTGACAGAATAATAAACCTTTAAAGGGAATAACATTCTGATACATGCTATAGCATAGATAAACCTTGAAAATAAATGGTATAAGTCAGACACAAGAGGACATGTGTTATTGTTTTATTGATGGTGCCTAAAATCAATGAATTAACAGATACAGAAAGCAAAAGCATCAGGCACTGGAGTGAAGAATAGAGAATGGTTGTTTAATGCATACAGTTTCTGTTGTAGATTCTAAAAAAAAAACAAGTTCTAGAATTGGCATGCAGGATAGCTGTACAACATTGTGAGTGTTTTTGTTTTTTTAACGTGTTTTTTGTTGTTTATTTTTTTGTTTTTGGTTGGTCATGGGGCTTGAACTCTGGGCTTGGGCCCTGTCCCTGCACTCTTCAGCTCTAGGCAAGCGCTCTACTGCTTGAGTTTAATGTGTTTTTTTACATGGGGCTTGAACTCTGGGCCTTCAGCTCAAGGCTAGCACTTTACTGCTTGAGCCACAATATCACTTCCAGATTTCTGAGTGGTTTATTGGAGATGAGAATCTCATGGACTTTCCTGCCCAGGCTGGCATTGAACTGCAGTTCTCAGATCTCAGCCTCCTGAATAGCTTGAATTACAGGCATGAGCCACCAGCACCCAGCTGCGAATGTTTTTAGTGCTATACTTGCTATACATGGTCAAAAATTGTTAATCTTTCTGGGTATGGTGTTAGACTCCTGTAATCCCAGCACTTGGAGGAAGAGACTTAGAGGGAGGCCATGATTGATTACATCATGAGACCTATCCTTAAAAAACAAAACCAATACAACAGTAAGTTAAATTGGTAAATGCCCTTATACATACCATCATAAGGTATCTTGAGAAGGTTTCTAAGGATAGTATCTGCAGTTTTAAAATATGTAAGAGGCAAATGGACTTTTCTAGATCCTTCCATCTTTACTGCTTAGTGCTCTTGCCACATGGAGGACATGCACCTGTCACCAGAAGGCTGAAAACATGCTGCCTCCATTTACAGTTCTTGGCAGGCAGGAGAGAAACCATGTGAGCAGATGTAGGACAGGTAAGACCAGGGAAGAAGCTGGTGTCAGCCATAGTTCACCTTCTTTCAAATCAGTCTGGCATATCAAACCAAAATCTTTTTGAAAACAAGATGTAAGATACCAGTGAAAGATCTGTGTCAAAATCAACTCCTGCTGGCTCAGCTTTGCCACTAAGAGAGAGTATGTTAGTCATCACACACAGGGGTTGGCAACAATGTTGTCCCCTGAGACAGTACATTGCTTTGAATTTGGAGATTGCATAGGTTAAGAAGTAAGTTCACCTGAAGGGGTATTGAACTTGGTTCTAGATGTAGCATTTTCCAAATATTCCAATCTCTAATTGATGATCTCTGGAGGCCCGTGGAAAGTTGCATTTTTGTCTTTGGATGAGGGATGGCGAGGTGATTTTTTTTTGTACTGGTCTCAGGGCCCCGGCATTGTTCCAAAACTTTTTTTTTTGCTCTAGGTTAGGGTTCTGTCATTTGAGCTACAGCTCTACTTCTGGCTTCTTAGTGGCTAATTGTCTTTGAACCACAATCCTCAGATCTCAGCCTCCAGGTATTGGATTACAGTTGTGAGTCACAGGTTCCTGGATGTTTCTTTTTTATTAATAAAAAAACAACAACTGAAAAACATTCTTATTGACTTGACATATGGTGCTGGAATTGAACCCAAAGTGTCACGTATGCAAGGCAAGCACTCTACCACTGACCCCTCAACCCCACCGTCCCAATGTGTTCTTTAGCATTAGGGAAATGAAACAAATTTGATAGGAATTTTACTTGTTTAGTGTGTCTGGACTTGATGTGTCCAGGTTGAGGAGGAAATGCCCATTTGCAACCTTGTAGTTTTTTTCTAAATTGACCTTTAGGTTTTCCATATCCCATATCATCAAATATGGAAGCAATGAGAGGTAAGGCTGTTAATAAGATAGATCAACTTGGGCAGAAAGGTGCAAATGACAGAAGGCTGAAGTTGCGTGGCCATTGTCTAGTTTTCAGGAAACTTGTTTCATATAGGGAAGCTAGCAGCCCAACAGCCCTGGGGACCCTGTGGAGAAGAAAGAAGAATGGTCATGTATTCATTCATTTCATCATACATTTATATGGGCTCAATCCAGGTCAAAGTGCTGGAGTTGACTTTCCTAGAGAGTAGATAATTGAATGAAGACTGAGGCTGTATGCAGGTATTAATTACAGAACAGAGGGGAACAGAATGGGATGTTCAAATGGTCTGTGGTAAGGAGCATGTGGCCAATGCCAGATGAAAGTCAAGATCAAATGGTATAATCAGGCAAGTACTGGCCAGATCTGTCCAGCTTTTGCAAAAGCCTACATTACATCTAGCCCCACCCCATTTATTCTTCAAACACACTTCTCCACAATCACTTTTGGATGTATGAAACCAAAGACATGCTTCTTAATCAGAATTCCTATTTCATTCCATATATATTACTCTATCTGTTAAGAAATAGCTCCTTTGTCTAATTGGAGAGAGGTTCTGTTCTGGGCAGAATCAGTGGTCTGGGAGTTCAAATCTAGGTTCTGTGCTTTCTAGGATTCTCTTTGTGAGAATCCTCTATATTAAACCTCTGTATGCTTCTGTTTTCTCATCTATAAAAGACAGATACTGCTCCCTTTTAGAGTTTTGAGAGTGACACCAGTAACATTACAAGCATGGGGCCTCACTCACTGTAAGGCAGAAACATGTTGTTCTTGTTTTCTTTTTCATTATCCCAACTAAGATTAGTTTGGAGATAGTGCCAGGAAGGGGATAAGCTTACAGGAAGGCCTTGGATTGCTCCTGGATTGTAGGAAGCAAACAGAACTCTTTCTTGAGTCTAGAAAAAATACTTGGGACTCAACAAATGGAGAATGGTGCAAACTGCCAGTAAGGCTTCAAGGCATAAAAACAGAGCAGGCAGGAGATAAAGAGCCCAAAGATTTGAGCTTATTTGAGGCATTTGAAGATTTTTTTTGTCATCCATCAGGGGCCTGGAAAACAATCCCCCATAAATATTGAGAAATGACTGCACCTATAAATCATTTACCTAACAGAGGACTTTTAATCTAAAATGAGAACTACAACTCAATAATAAGACAAAACATAATCCAATTTTAAAATGAGCAAAGGGGCCAGGAGTGACTGCTCACGTTTGCAACCCCACCTACTTGAGAGGCAGAGATCAGGAGGGTCACGGTTTAGGGCCAGCCAGGCAGACCTCATCTAATGGGTCATGGTGGTGTGTGGATGTAACCCCACCAATTCAGGAGGAACAACAGGTAGGAGGCTTGTGGTCTAGGATGTCCCTTTCCATCTCCCCTAACACCCTCCCCTTTTCCCCAGACTCTATTCGAAAATTAAAGCAAAAAAGGGCTGGAGAAGTGGCTCAAGTGGCAGAAGGCCCCAGCATTCTGAGTTCAAGCCCTAGTACTTCAACAAGAAGACAAAAGGAGTGGGATACAAAGGACTTGTGAGTTCACTCCCCACGGGCGATGTACAGATAACTAGTAAACGAAGGAAGTAAATGAGGCAGATCACTTTTGGGAAAGGCGCACCCAAGTAAGGGCTAGTGCAGGCAGATGGTTTCGGGCCCACGAACTCGGAGAGACTAGAGAAGCGGGAGTTGTGTGCAAGGCTGATTGTGGGGTAAGGTTCAGGTCCCGGGGCGCCAGGGCCTCCGCCGAGGAGGCGCCGCAGCAGAGTAGCGCCGGTCGCAGTGCCCCGGCCACGGGATCCACGCCAGGCCGCGTCCCGAGTCACTGCGGTTATGTGTCACGCCCCCGCTTAGCCCCGCCCCGCTCTACTGGCGCCGTGGCTGCCTTCAGCGCAGGCTCAAGCTTCGGCTCTCCGCAGGTGACGCGTCAGGCGCTCCAGTCAGACGCCCCGCCTAGCTTACGTCAGATCACGTAACTTGTCTGGACCGCTTCTGCAGCTGGACGTGCGCGCGCAGCCCCCCGCTTCACCCTGGAGGAGGTGGGGCCCACAGGGGGCGGGGCTGTGCCCGCGGGGGCCAATAAGCGGCGCTCGCGCTGGACTTCTCCCCGCCCCCCCCCACCCTCCCCCAGGCCGGCTGTTCCTGTGGGCCTGGTCCAGCGGATGGTGGCGAAGGTGGCGGGGGTACCGGCAGCGAGGTGAGCGCGCTGTGGGCTGGACCCTGCTGGCTTCTTTCTTCACCGCCGCCTCCGGACTGGCCGGTGTGGTCGGCTGTCCGGAGGAACGGCGAATTGGGGGGTGGGGGGGGTGGATGCAGAAGAAGCAAGGCTGGGGACCGCCCGGGCTGAAGTCCAGGCCGGATCATGCGGGCCCGGATGCCTGCGTTAGGGAGGAGGTTTGACCCTGGTTGCAGTGATTTGTTCTTCCTCCCTGCGGTCCTTCAGGGTGCTGCGGGGCGCCGGGGGCTGCGGGGTGGCGGCGGCGGCGGCTGACTCGGGGCGGGCGTAGCGTGGTCAGCGCGGCGACCCAGGCTTTTAGCCCAGCAGGAGGACCAGGCTTTCTCTGCGGAGGGCGGGAGTTGCGGAGAACCGGGTCTTGTGGGGGAGGGGCCTGGCCCGTGCACCCCGGGACTCTGGGGGCTGCCCGCTGACCCCGAGAGCCAGCCAGAATGCTAATGAACTGCAATGGGACCCACACTGCCGGCACCAGGCCTCGGGTAACCTCTGCTGTGACCTGTTAACCTGCTCTCCAGGCAAGAGGCAAACTAGGAAACTGTGCTGAAAACCCACTTTGTGAATTGAGAAGTCGCTGCCAGGCCACCTGTAAGGACTTAACGCCCTCTCCCAGGACTGATGGCAGAGAACTGGGGAAGTCGGGACTGGCGATTTAGGGCTTAAGGCTGAGAGAGCCATCTGTAGCCTTTTGTTGCCAGGCTGCTGTGGGATCACTGAGAGGCTGTTGGCTCCCCGCCCCCGCCCCCACGGTGTCCTTTGATTTGGGCTTCCCCAGTGTTGGGTTTACTAGGGAGTGAGTCTCCTTCAGGCGACATTGCTCTGGCCCCCTAGGTGCTGGTTCTCCATCTGCATGCCAAAGAGGCCATGTTTGGGGGCTAGTGGTTGTGGGATCAGAGATGGGTGGGGTTAAGTTTTCAGAGATGTTGAATCCAAAGTCATGTCTAAAATCTGGGTGGTGGGTAGCAGTGTTTGGGATGGTGGAGGAACCAAAGTTAGACTTGCTAGAGGAAGGCAGGTTCTGGGAACTGAAAGTCAGGATGAATCTTGAGGGGGAAAACTGGTTCTCAGGGAAAGCACAGGAATGAAGTGGGGGTGAGGCGTGTGTGTGTGAGATGGAGCCCAGGAGAGGAGGTCTTAGGATGCATGGAGACTGCCTGCTGTAAAAGTAGCTCTGGGCATATGCCAAGCAGAGGTATACTGAGCCCAAAGAGTCTCACCAGGCTCAAACTTCAGTCCTTACAAACTGCTTGTAGTTCCTCTTTTCTGTGTGTAGGAAGCCAGCAAGTTTCAGGCACAGTTGTACTCATTGAGGTGCTGCACTCATTGAATCCTCACAGTAACCTGTGAGCCTTGGACAGAGGTGGAAGCCAAGGACCAAAGAGGTTGAACTTGTAAAAGCTATGGGACCATCATGCATTATTTCAGTAGAATAATTGTAATTCGAATTATAATGTGTTTAGAATTATGATGGATATGGGAAGTTTTCCTCCTTGAGGGGAAAAAGTTTTATCTGTTTATTTCAGTGACAGAAGTGATTAAGTTTTATTCTCAGACAGTGGCAGCTATGTGTTTCATTTTCATTATCTGGTTTCCTGATCAAAGAATGAGATAGTAATGTTGCCATAAGTGTTTGAGTCAGTGACCTGGATAAGCAAATGACTGCTTTAATGTATTTCACTAGTCATTTCGTATTTATCGCTGGGGAAGATCTTGCCAATTTGGATGCAAATGTCATATGAATATTCAGGAACTTTCAGAAACCTGCTAAGAAGTGGAATGTGATTTCCTTTCAATGAGAAAATCTAGGTTGTTAATCCCTTGAAGAACTGAAATAAGTTTAACAGTTTCTAGCCCTGTTACTCCTGTGGTTGTGAATGCATGAAACAACTCTTGTTTTTGTTTTTAAAAGCTGTTCGGGGGAAGAAGAAAGATGGAAAGTGGTGCAGTTCTGCTGGAATCAAAGTCCTCGCCTTATAACCTTCTGCATGAAATGCATGAGCTGCGCCTTCTGGGCCACCTGTGTGACGTCACAGTCAGTGTTGAGTATCAGGGCGTCCGGGAAGACTTCATGGCCCACAAAGCAGTATTGGCAGCCACCAGCAAGTTTTTTAAGGAGATGTTCCTTAATGAGAAGACTGTAGTTGGTACCAGGACTAATGTCTACTTAAATGAAGTGCAAGTTGTTGACTTTGCTTCATTTCTGGAGTTTGTCTACACCGCCAAGGTACAAGTAGAAGAGGATCGGGTGCAGCGGATGCTGGAAATGGCTGAAAAGCTGAAGTGTTTGGACCTATCAGAAACATGTTTTCAGTTAAAGAAGCAGATGCTAGAGTCAGTTCTCTTAGAATTGCAGAATTTCTCAGAGTCTCAGGAGGCAGAGGTGAATAGTGGCCCCCAGGTCACTGTTGCCCTGGGCTCTAGGTCAAATGCTGTCACAGCCAGGGACTATGCTCACTCCACTGGCCTTATAGATCCCACAGATTACCCAGTGGAGAAAGTGAGCAACGGCCAACCCCCAGATATGCCACCCAGGAAGGCCAAGGAGAAACTTGAGAAGAAGAAGGAGGTGGCTAAGCCCCCCTACCCCAAAATCAGAAGGGCTAGTGGAAGGCTGGCTGGAAGGAAGGTATTTGTGGAAATCCCTAAGAAGAAATACACAAGACGCCTCCGAGAGCAGCAGAAGAGTGCTGAAGAGGAATTGGAGGACTACAGGTGTCCCCAGGACCAAAGTGCAGACCCTGTGGGCGTCGAGATGGGGCCTGTGGTACAAAACGAGGGTTGCAGTGCTGGCGAGGAGGTGGAGGAAGTGCTGCCCAAAGCCTCAGGGGAAGGGGAAGAGGAACGAGATGGGGAGAGAGAAGGGGAGGACGGGGAGGGGGAGGAGGAGGAGGAGGAGAAGAAGAAGAGCAACTTCCAGTGCACCAGCTGCCAGAAGGCGTTCCTGTACGAGAAGAGCTTCCTGAAGCACATCAAGCACCATCACGGCGTGGCCACCGAAGTGGCCTACCGCTGCGAAACCTGCGGCCAGACCTTCGCCAACCGCTGCAACCTCAAGAGCCACCAGCGCCACGTGCACAGCAGCGAGCGCCACTTCCCCTGCGACCTGTGCGGGAAGAAGTTCAAGCGCAAGAAGGACGTGAAGCGGCACGTAGTGCAGGTGCACGAGGGCGGCGGCGAGCGGCACCGCTGCGGCCAGTGCGGCAAGGGGCTGAGCTCCAAGACGGCGCTGCGGCTGCACGAGCGCACGCACACCGGCGACCGGCCCTACGGCTGCACCGAGTGCGGCGCCAAGTTCTCGCAGCCGTCGGCGCTCAAGACCCACATGAGGTACCCGGCTCCAGGGCAGGGGGGCGGTGCGGGGGTGGCTGGTGTCTGTACCCAGAGACTCAAAACCGTTCTGGACTTTGAGGTCGGGACCAGTGCTGTCTCCAGATGGTTCGTTTCTGAACCGGTTTCCTCTAGGGCCCGGGAGGCTGGTGTTTAGGTAGCTTTGGAGGTCGGGGTTTAAAGAGATGGCTCCCCCAGCTTCCCAGAAGTGTCTGTGGCCACGGAGGCCGTTGCCCCTCCTGGCTGACACATCCAGGCCCAGAGGCCGGGGACACCCAGCAGAGTTGCCCAGAAATCGCACTGTGAGCTCGCATAGGTGGCAGGCAACACAGTAGCTACGAGAGAGGCTCTCCATCTTTGGGGAAGAGTTGGGGCTACTTACCCTTCCTCTTCATTGACAACCTGCTCCTCTGGCCACTGGTACCCACCGGTCCATAGTTCACTGTGATGACATTCATGGGTTTCAGGAGGTCCCAGGTGTTAACCTTTTAATTCTGAAGGTTGTGACGATTGTGAAGTGGGTTAGTCTAATCTCCACAGTCACAACAGATCATGTTTTCTGTTCATTTACTTTAAATTGCTCCATAGTTCTCTTATAGATGTGGGAATTCCAGGCAAGCACCTAAGTTTTTCTATTCTTCTAGGTCTGCCTTTAAATTTAGGCTAGCCTTCAAGGAGGTAGCATGGTGTTCATCATCATCTTTTAGTCTGGGGAAGTTTAAGATACTTGTTCCGGAAGCTGGGTGCAAATGACTCAGGCTGAGATCAGGAAGATTGAAATGTGAAGCCAGTCCGGACAGAAAAGTTCATGAAACTCCATCTCCAAAATAATAAGCAAAGAGCTAGGCTGGAGGTGATCACTAGTTAGGTCAGAAAGCTGAGCAAGCATGACGCTCCCAGTTCAAACTTTTGTGCTGGCAAAAACCAATCAATCAATCAACCAATCCAATCAAAGCCATGTGCTGCTGGCTTACACCTAAAATCCTTATTACTTGGGAGGCTGAGATCTAAGGATTCTGGTTCAAAGCCAGCCCAGGCAGACAAATCCTAGAGACTATTTCCAATTAATCATCCAAAAAAAAAAAATCAGAAGTGAAACTGAGGCTCAAATGGTAGAAAGCTAGCCTCAAGTGAATAAGCTAAACAAGAAAGCAGGGCCTTGAGTTCAAGCCCCAACCTCAGCACACACACATAGGCACACATCTGACTAACTTGTTTAGTCAAGCTTGGCTAATGGCCTCATCATGCTGGTTGTGATTAAAATGCTACTCCTCAGAAACCAAGTTCTTTCAGCATTTTGAGATTTTGTAAATAGCCGTTTTTTTCCATACTGGTTAAGTCATATTGTGGAATGATGTAAAATATTTGATCATGTGGTACTTTGTCAGCAAGTTCCTGACTTTTCTAAATGAGGAAGCTTTATAAATATTAGTGTTTCCTACTATTTAGAAGGAATATTCATAGGCATAGTCTCTTATCTTTGCCTATTCTACAGCATAAATATGGCTCAGGTGTGTAGATGATTACACATTATCTTGCACAGAAACTCATTTTTGGGGGGAGAGAGATCATAGACTCTTCAGCTGTTCTGTTGGTTATTCTCATCGGGAGTAAATGATTTTTTGTAGAACAGAGTGGAAATTTTATTGCCAAAATTAGCTTTGAAATACACCCTAAGTTATGTGAATGTTGTACTTTCAGAATTCATACAGGGGAAAAACCTTTTGTCTGTGATGAATGTGGTGCAAGATTCACTCAGAACCATATGCTGATTTATCATAAAAGGTGCCACACAGGTAAATACCTACACTGTTGTCATTCAGTGTCTTCCTTAGCTGTAGAAGGAAAATGTCATTGGCTAATTTAGAAGTTGGCGTCTACTGAGGTGATGAAGGTTCAAGTCATGTTGTAGCTTTTCCATCTAATAAGAACTGATGGTAAGTCCTCCTGCTGCTCACAGTGTCACGGCCTCTACCCCACAGTACAACTGGATCTGACAAATGGATCTTAGGTGTACAGCTGTGGGAAATACTTTGTACCATTTTTAGCTTGAAAGTACATTTCCAACAATCTGCCTTAAAGAAAATCTATATGTCATTAGTGATCTTCTTGCTATTTTTAATAAGATAGAATTGGAGACATCACAAGAAGTGACTCAGTAAACTGATAAAAATCTACCTCCTGGCTCATGACCTAGCCAGAGGAAAGGACTGAATGTATACATTCAGTAGATAATGAATTTTAAAATGTACAACTAAGTATAGTTAATTCTAATTGTATTGAAAATCTTCTCATAAAATCCAGAAGAAAATAAATTATTTATGATAAATTATCATATTAATGATAGTGATGGAATTAGCTTCTTTCTTTCCACATTTTTGGTGACATGATCCTATCCTATAATGGGGAAAATTGTTTGAGTTGGCTTGATTTTGGTTCAGCACAATAAGCTGAGCCAAGCCAATTTAAGTTTTCATGTGAACTAATGATCAGAATCTGTAAATTGTAGTTATCCTAAACCAGTTCTTCCTCTAAGAACTATTTCAGTGGCCTCAAGTTCAAATGCAAGTGAGAGCTGAGTTATTTAATGATGTGAATATCTAGACTGCAGAATGAGTAGAATTTGTGTTTAATGGAAGTTGCAGTTAGGGACAATGTAGTATTTTAAAGGATGGCATTAGAATTGGTCATTTGATGAAAATATTTATGATTTTACTACTCAATACTTTTAATTTTTTCTAAATCATAGGTATGTCTCTTAAGTAGATGTGTTCTGGTTGTGAGAACAGAGGACTTAAACTTCAAAAGGATAGTTGTTCCTTGTCTTGCAGTTGAGTTGGAGCTGCTACTCTTGAAGTTATCTATAATAATCCATTTAATCTTTCTTCCAAGAGGGACTTTAATTCTGATAAAGATCTACAGAAGCAATTTAAAAATAATCCAAGTCTTCCAAAGAGAAGTGAAATTATTTTCTTGTTTGAAATGACTAAAGTTCTCAAATGTGAGCTGGCTGACTGTAGTCCTAAAGAACGTTTTACACCAACTTTCAGCAAAAAGCAAGCATCTTGCATGAACAGATATTGTATGATACTTTTAATTAGAAAGGTCATATCCTCCCCATCAAGGGTGTTAGGAATGTGGATCTACCCTTCCCAAGTGTTTTGTATTCTTTTTTATTTTTATTTTTGTCGGTTGTGGTGTTTGAACTCTGGGCCTGAGGGCTGTCCCTGTGCTCTTCAGCTCAAGGCTAGCGCTCTACCACTTGAGCTACAGCACCACTTCCTTCCCAAGTGTTTTTAATGCTTGTCTTGCTTTTAATTCTATTTCATCTTTTCTTGTAGGTGAAAGGCCTTTTATGTGTGAAACGTGTGGCAAGAGTTTTGCTTCTAAGGAGTATTTAAAACACCACAATAGAATCCATACTGGATCAAAACCCTTTAAATGTGAAGTATGTTTCAGGACTTTTGCTCAGCGGAATTCTCTTTATCAGCACATTAAAGTCCATACAGGTATGGCTATAGTGTCCTCAGGAAGACAGTCCTAAAAGTATTTGGAAGCATGTGGAGAAAAATGGCCGAACTTCGTATGCCACTATGGTATTTTTTTTTTTAACTTTGAGTTTCTAGTTTATTGTTCTGAGAGCCTGCTGAATAGAAGCGCTTGTGTACATATGGAGGACAGCTACATCCCTTTGGGGTGTGGAGCTTCCTTCCTTCCTTCCTTCCTTCCTTCCTTTCTCTTTCTTTCTTTCTTCCTTTCTGTCTCTCTCTCTATCTGTCATGGGACTTGAACTTAGGGCCTGGCTAGTCTCTTTTGTGCTAATGGTTAGTGCTCTACAACTTTGAGCCACAGCTCCATTTCTAGTTTTCTGTTGATTAATTGGTTTCATAAACCTGGCTTTGAACCATGATCCTCATATCTCAGTCTCCTGAGTAGTTTGGACTATAGGTGTGAGCCACTAGAGCCCAGCTGGTATGTATAGTTTTTTTTGAAACGGTCAAACAGATGACATTGTCTGTCATGTGTACATTTAATGTGTATATGAATTCAAATTTTTCTCTTCCTTCATCCTTCCCTCCCTCCCCTCCCCTCCCCTCCCCTCACCTCCCTCCCTCCTTAATTCCTTCCTCCCTCTCTTGTCTACTTTTCCTCTTTTAAATTATTTGTTTTCCAGTACTGAGGCTTAAACTCAGGGCCTGGGTATTCTGTAGCTTTTTTACACAAGACTGGTGCTCTAGCTCTGAGCCACAGCTATCCTTCTAAGGATTCAAATTTCTTAACTCTATGTTACTTATAAGCATACCCGCACACATGCACTGAGTTACTATGTGACTTGGAATTTTTACTCCATTATCATGGTAAACATATCAACTGCAAAATTTTGGCTTGCTGTTGGTGTAGGTGTAAACGCTTGGCATCTTGGGATAGCTTGATTCTTCCGTCAAGTTGGCCTTGGAGTTGTTCCCAACACAGCCTCCCCTAGGTGGGAGTGCTAAGGCTTTCCAGGAGTTTGTACTCTGACTTAATACAGTGAGCTGAAGACATCACCCACCTGTTTTCTTCTCTTCCTGCCTCAGGAGAACGGCCCTATTGTTGTGACCAGTGTGGGAAGCAGTTCACCCAGCTTAACGCCCTCCAGCGCCACCATCGCATCCACACAGGAGAAAAGCCATTCATGTGCAATGCATGTGGAAGGACGTTTACTGACAAGTCCACTCTCCGGCGGCATACCTCAGTGAGTGATGGAGGCCTGTGTGAGAAGGAAGTTTGAAACCCTGCTGGTCCTTAGATACATGACCCTGAGCAGCCAGAAATGCCTGTCATCATTAGAGGAGGCAGCAGCTGTTTTCTCCTCAGGCATTCTCTATAGTTCCTCTACCCAGTGAATAAAGTGAAGGTCCCAGGCCAGCAAAGTCCCTGTTAAGACACCTTCTAACAGTGGTAGTGGTAGTGGTAATCAGATGTTTGACAATTAACAGAAAGGGCTTTCACTGCAGTAGAACCAAAATTAAGTTGGAGAGAGACTTTTTTGGGGGTGGGGTTTAGTCTTACAACGTAGCACAGTCTGGCCTCAAACTCAGTCTTCCTGCCTCTGCCTCCTGAGTGCTACACTAACAGGTGTGTGCCACCATGTCTTGCTCCAGAGAGACTATTTTACAAGCTGTACTTGTTATTAAATATACATTGCGAGAGTTACAGAGACAATTATGGTGACTTGTATTTGTGTTTGATTTGTAGATACACGATAAGAATACTCCATGGAAGTCTTTCCTTGTTATTGTAGATGGCTCACCTAAGAATGATGAAGACCACAAGACAGAGCAGCCTGATGACGAATATGCATCCCCCAAACTTTCGGATAAATTGCTGTCTTTTGCAGAAAATGGCCATTTTCACAACCTGGCCACGGTCCAAGGTGGTGTACCCCCTGTGCATGAAAACAGTTCTGCAGACACCGCCTGCAAGGCAGATGACTCCCAGGACACGCTGCTGGCCACCACCATCAGTGAGCTCAGTGAGCTGACTCCACAGACAGACTCCATGCCCACACAACTTCACACTTTGACCAACATGGAATGAAAGCTTGCAGTTGTGTACCAAGATTGTGTGTGATAGCGATATTCTGGGTAATTCTAGATTAGCTGAGAAAAAGAACTGTGTGCAGAGAGGTGGGCAAGGATGACCACTTACAGATGTTCCTGAACTCCACTCACTTGCATGGCTTTACCACACCACTTTTAAAGCTTTCCTGTAAAATTTCTGATCTGCATGATCTCAGCTACACTTTTTATCAGCAAACAGGGCAGTTAACATAAGCTTACTTAGTGCTGCTGTAGGCTGTGTGCATCAATCATTCTAATGCTTGATTCTCTTGATATTTAACCACTGCTTGTCTTAACTGCAGAGTACAGAGCATTGACCCAGCTCATGAAATTGCTGTTAATGGTCTTCCTGGTCTCGCCCTGCCTTATACTTCCATGAGTGTTTACTTCCTTGATCCTCTAAGGTATTTTTCTAGTAAGCTGAAATTAGACTGGGTCTACCAATTTTCAGCAATTTCTTCCTTGTGAGTCGAATCAAATCAGCTTTGCTCTGGAGACCCTTGAGTGGGACCGAAGAAATGGATTATTGCAGTCATTCCTCCCTAACCCCATTTATAGACACTAAAAAAGGAATGACAACTTGAACTCTTATGAGGCATAGTATCTCCACTCACAGCACCTGTGTAGCTGGGGAGTTTGTTATAAAACCACCTTTTGAATTGAAATGTGGTTGTTCAGTTTCATTCCTAAAAATCAGATTAGGTAAAAGCTGTCCTACCAAAGAGTCTAGTAAAACTGTAGTATTTCTTTTCTTTTTCTTTTTGCAAAAGATCTGAGAAATGACAAGGTATTAGCATACTTGGGTAGTCATTTTATTCAGAAGTAGCAAAAAGAGGTGACTGGTAAACTTTAGATTTATTAGTATTTTTGCTAGTTTTATCTCTTGAATTCTCTAATTTCCAGAAACTCGAGACTTGTTCATGTCCACACTGAATGGCTGAAAGTCTAGTAATTGCCACAATCTTCTTTGGGAGCCTGTAAGAATCTTTAGAAGGGACCAGAAGCCTCAGCACACTCATCTCTGACTATGCCTTAATAAGTGGATCATAAAGAACCAGTTACTTTGTCTTAAATGCTCCTTTGGCTATACCACACTGGACTTAATTATTGCTCAAAATAATTCACAATGAAAAAAATTCAATTTTACTTGTTCTTCCTGGCGTTTGATTCCAAGGCCTTGGTGTGGCTGTGCACTTGTGAAATGCTCTGATTCATGTGTAACCCTTCAACATACCAATTTTAGAAAAGCGCCTTAAAGGGAGAATTCTTTGCTAGTTACTTTTTTCCCTCTATTTTTAATTTATTAAATATTCTGTGAGACACTTTGATTTTTTAAGAGGAAGGTACCTTATCTTTAAATTCCAGGATGAAGACATGGCTACACTGAGACAAACTGAGGTAACTTTGACATTTAAGAGACTAGAGAAGCCACTACCAGGTGTTTTGGGCACTGATGTTTCACACCTGCTCTTGAAGGTCATAGGACTCTGAATTATGACCTTGGCATTGAATCCTATTTGTGTTTACAGAACAAAACAATAGTGATGGTCACACTACCATTTGAAACTTGGTAAAAGTGAACCTTCCCAGCAAATGATGTACTGTTTTATGGAATAAAGTCATCTTGATGAGAGAGAATTAAAACAAAATTATTTTGTTATTTACTAGAATTTTTGTCTTGAACTTGTTTCTTTAGAAGTTCTACATAAAATTGTTTAAAGTGTTAATAAATGTCTGCTTTGTCAAAGTAAATCTGTAAGTCTGTTTACATTATTATTTTGTCGGTCATGGGGCTTGAACTCTGGACTTGGGTGCTGCCCCTGTCTCTTCAGCTCAAGGTGAACACTCTACTGCTTGAGCCACAGTGCCACTTCTGGTTTTCTAGTGGTTTATTGGAGATAAGAGTCTCATGGAGTTTCCTGTCTGTGCTGGCTTTGAACCATGATCCCCAGATCTCAGCCTCCTAAGTAGCTAGGATTACAGCTGTGAGCCACTGTAATTTATTTAGCTTGTTTACATTATTATTAATAGAGCTGAAGAAAGATGATTCTTTGTTGGAATAAGCATAATGTGCTGAATAACATGGATAATCAACTGTAAAAGCAAGGTCTGTGAGTCTTTACAGAATGCAGTACAAGGTTTGATTTACCAGCTTGGATTCCAAAGAAGTCTCCAGCAGGGGGAAACAGGAGAGGGCAAACAGCCCAGCTCAGGCACAGCAGTCTGGGAGCCATGCTAAAAGGTGTAAGTGTAAGTGTGCCCCCTGCCCTTCTCTTCACTATAATACCAGCACGTACTAGGACATGCCCACTATATATATTCTCTGGCTCTTTCCAAGAGGGTAAGGTTATCTGCAAGAAGCCAATGAACTTTGTAAAACACTGACTGCAGAGGAGTTTGTGAGATGCCTTTTTAGTTTCTTTGAAGTAGTCATGCTGAATGTAAGGCTACCCTGAGCATGTGGGTCCCAAGCATGAAATAATGGTGCCTAGATCAATATCCTGCTTCTTGCAGGACATCAACAAAGATCACCAAAGAGTTGGACTGGTGGTGTTCTAACCACTTTGTTAATACACCAAAGTGCTATGTAGCCTCTGGTGATTTTGCTGTTGCTAAGTATCCAAAACAAATGAAGGAAAGTTTCAGTTTTAACCTGTTCAACGTTACTCCTTGTCACACTTTTTGGGAACCAAAGGAGTGCTTGTCTATCTAACCATACTCAATGGTACTCATTATATTGGAAGTGATTTTCTAGCTGGAGGAGGGCTCCCCTAGCAAAGGACCTTTGTTCACATACAACTGGACAGGAGCAAACAAGACTGAGAGGCCACACAGGACAATCCAGCACACTCTGGCAATCTACATAGGCTTCTTATCAAGGCATACAATGGCAGGGTTTGATTTCTCTCTGAAAAGAGACAGTTCAGTAATTTGACCTTCAATGACTAAAAATACCTTCCTTTCTGGATTGGGATGGTTTGTGCTGCCATTCATGTTTGAATTTTCTAAAGTAGTCTGAATACACATTTTCATCAGAATCAATGCTCTGACAAGATATATCCACGCTACCTCCCCATGTAGGTCCTCTTCCTAGAACCCAAGTGGTTCATGGCTTGATGCTTCCCAGGGCATTGACCCCAGAGAGTAAAATATCCACACACCTAATATTCCTTACTTTCAGCCTTAAAGGTTACTGGCCTCCCAACAAATCAACCACCTTTCAGCAGGCACTCCTCCATCTAACTTGCAAGTGACAGCAGAGTGCAAAAGGTTCCAAGGCTGAAATGAGTGAATTTGGCAGTTACCATGTACACTCAGCAGACTGCAGCAACAAAAGGCACCAGGGTTTCCTCTAAGTCTCTGCCTACATGACCACTGTAGTGCCCTCAAATTCCCACGGCGCATGATGCCTAGAGAATTGCAATGTCACTAACTGAAGATCAGGTGAACAACCTCAAGGAAGCTACATTTGCTCTGTGTCAATTAGACAAGACTAGTCAAAAGATTACTCACAATGTTCACTTTATTTACTGTACAAGTTCACATAAAACATTCTGCTAAGGTAGAATTAACGTTATAAGGTTAGTTTCCTTGGGACTTGGCAGGGCAGGAAGCCTGCTACTGGTTGTAGCTCACACTGCGGCGGCAGTGGCAGGTCATAGGGCATGCTGTGCTGCCAGGTCCTCCAAAGTCACAAAGGCTTGCATTAGGGGGTTTAATTGTATAATACCAGAGGAAACAATAAATCACAAGGGCTGGTGCATATACTTTGGTTATAATGACACTACCACACATGGTCACAATTGTGCAAAAATACTGTTTTCAGATCATTAAATAAAAAAGGAATTCACATAAGCTATAAAAATGTTGCCACAAAAAGCAAAGCTTTCCTGTAAGAAATTTTAACTGACCTCAATTGTGAACCCCAGATTTGCTAAAGTACAAGATATATAATATAAATGTTGATTATATTTGGTTCATATATAACATTCTACCAATCTTTGAAGCTTACCTCCTAGATATCTTGAAATACAGCACTATCCATCTGCTGAGGGGGAGGGAAGAGAGAGTTTATACTTTTGTCTGGGCTTTTTTCTCATCCATTATCTTCTTGCCATTATAATTACTTTTCCTTTGTACTTAAATTGTACTTTGATCTAGGGTCTTACTATATAGTCTAGGCTATCTTTGTACCAATGATCCTTGTGTATCAGCTTCCTAAGTGCCAAAAAACCATTAGCTTTTAACCCAAGGACCAATCTCAGCTTTTATTTCAATAAAAGCATGGAAGTCTGACTGACATAGCAAAATGGCAATAATATTACTTAAAAACAAAACAAAACAAAACCCACACCCCTTCTTCAGACACATAGAAGTCTGTTAGGGAACCATGATAAAAGGCAAACAGACTTGACCTAAAAGATACCATGTAGTTTTTACTTCAAATAGTCAGAACAGAAGATTATTTGTGTGTGTGTGTGCACATGCATGTGTGTGAGCATGTGTATGTGTGTATGTGTGTGCCAGTACTAGGGCTTGAACTCAGGGCCTGGGCACTGCCCTCTACCTTCTTTATTCAACACTAGTGCTTTACCATTTGAGTTTACAACTCCACTTGTGGCTTTTTGGTGGTTAACTGAAGATAAAAGTCTCATGGACTTTCCTTCCCAGGCTGGCTTCAAGCTATTATGCTTAGTTCTCAGCCTCCTGAACAGCTAGGATTATAGGCATGAGCTACCAGCAATTGGCTTGAATATTACATCACAGTGCAAACAAATTTGGTGAACAGTTTTCAAATGTCTTGTTTTTACAAATATGTATAGCTAGTGGTATAATATAGTAAGTAAAACTCATTTTAAAATATGATATTTTAGTAAGAGTCAGGAGGGATCAATTGAACTCCATTTAAAAACTGACCTTCAGTGATGTCTGGCCTTCAATTAAGAAGGCCAAAACTTTGAAGGGAAATGGAATCCTCAGCAGATTCCTGGGCTTAACCTCTTTACCGTACCAGTTACACTGACATCACTGAGATACTTGCTTCTCCAAGGTCTCCAGCACACTACTGTTATACCTTGACTGGGCCAGTGAGTGCTCACCACATCTGATACAGACCTCTAACATCTGCCCTCCCAGGGTCTTTTCACTTTGTTTCCTTCTATTGCCCTTTACCCCAGATGAACTTGACTTTCTTACTAGTCCTCAAACCATCCTCACTCAGCCCTTAACCTGACACTACAAGACAATATCCTACCGATTCTAATCCACAGCCTTCCAAAAGTAAAGACTATATTCCAGTGCTACTTACCACCAGACACAACAGAAATTGTCATTATCTGTCACTAATGACAGCAGTACAATTTAGAAGGGACTGAAAGTTACATCGGGACATGCCAAACACTGTGGTGCCAATATAAAGGGATTTCCACTCTAATTCCAAATGGAAACTTTCTCTAGGAAAGGGAAAGTTCTGCTCCTTGCAAACCTGTGTGTGTTTACATACAAATCAATGTAATCCATTTTGACATTCATCAACAAAAGAAGCACATACTGCCAGGAAGCTTGTTTTCCTCAAAATGCACATTATTCTAATGGATCCCAACAGTTCTCAATTTTTCCATGTACATGTGAACATGGAGAATAGTACAAAAAACAAGCAAATTTGTCACTAGCACCATCAAAATAATCACAGAAGAACAAAAATAATTTCCAATGAAATTCTACACTCATAGTTGACAATCACTCTGAACTAAACACACACACTTAAAGAATATATCCAGATGCCAATGTACAGGGTCTCTGCAAAGCATCTATGAAAAATAATGGGTCAAGATTTAGAGTTCAAGAGGAAGAACATTGAAAAAAAAAGTGGCAACATTAAACATGGGCTATTTCAGTATCAGAAGAACAAGGATATGATTTGAAAGTACTCAGAAAACTCTGGGGACTCTGATAAGCCTGACAAACCTCCCTTTCAACTGCTTCACAGTGACACAGATGTGGTGCACACGCACTTGGACAGTACATGGGTTGTGTGGCTCATATGCAACAAAATTAAGCCATTAAATGGGCATCTCATAAAGATCCAGTGGCCCTAAGACAAAACTAAAGAGACGTTATTAGCCGCATGCCACAAGGACAGAAACATTTCACTTTAAGTCTCCATCTCCTTCTCCATCACCTTGGATGGACTTTTTGATACGAAGCAACATGGTGGTTAGCCACTGATCCAACCGTGATATTGAGTCAAATTCCTTCACCTAATAAGGGAAAGAGGAACAGAAATTATATTCCAAGGAAATATATTCCAACAAGAAACAATAGTGATCCCAACTGTGTGAAATATTTTACAGCAATATCCATCAAATTCTTGATTAGAAATTATTTAGACCTATCTTTATGCCTGTCTTCTTTAAAAATTTCTGCTTTCCATGATCTGCTGACTATTTTGATGTTAGTGGTGATGAGTTTCTGTGCTTTTAATATCATTCTATAAGTTAAAAGTGCACAACAAAAATTTAGAACTGTTATGACAATTAAAATTTGCATCTAGTGAGGCAGAGGAAATTCAATACAACATAAGACTAGGAAGGAATATGGAAAGCTACAATGTACTGAATATGGTAAGATATAATGGAACAATTAGGAAGCAGAAATCCTTATACATTTTAATAAAAAACTACTCTGATTTGTAAGATATATAAAACATGACCCTGAATGGAAAATACAACTGAATGACACAATGCTATGCTAGAATAACTAAATGTTTAGGATTTACCCTATGAGAAAATGAAAGAAGTTTCTAAAACTTAAGCCTTGGAAAAAAATATACCATATCCCAGAAAGTTTAACTTACTGCTTCAGTGTAAGCTTCACTGTTCTGTTCTTCATGAGCTTCTAGAAGTTTCTGCAACATTAAAAAAAAAGAAAAAAATATTTTGATTAAGGCCAAAGAGTTATGTCTGAGTGAATTCTTTAAACATAGAGACAGCCTAGTATCACATTAATTGATATTGCTAAGTATCTCATAAAACTAGGGAAAAATTCACGTTATCCTACTCAAGGGTTCACTGTTTGTACTAGTATTTCTGAACTGCCTGTTCAAAACATGGTGCTCATGTCCCTGACCCTTTTGGCCTTTAAACACCTACAACAAATAAGCAGACAAAGACTGGATCCCCTCAGTTGGCAGACCCATTGATTAAAACACACTGTATAACTACTGAGGCATGGTCACCTGATAGGCATTTTTCTTTGAAGTTCAATTCTACTTACTTTCAGTAATTTACATTCTCTTGAATCAGTAAATGCTGGAAACATTTCCTCATACTTCTCAAGAGCGAGCTGAGGAAGGAACACAACTAGTCAATATCATATTTAACTATAAGAGGACATGAAAATATTCAACTTTCTATTAACTTCAGAAGACATATCACTATCTGTAAGTGTTCAAGTATGCTACTAAACTCAATGGCAGGATCAACACATTTTTGAACATTTAATTTCAATTAAGAAGAAATTTCTAAACTGATTTTTAGAATCAGATTCTAAAGATGTCATCTGAAGATGACACTGCAAATAAAATTTAGTTCTTAAAAAGCCATTGCCATATGTCTGTAATTTATCCATTAAATGGAGAAACTTCCCTAATATCAAACTCTTCCCAAATATCAAATAAATCAAAGCATTCTAAAATACTTTTTTCTTTTGGACTTAGTTTTTTATTTTTTATGGCTTTTTAGACACTGGCAACACCAAAGCTTTCCAGTGCCCAGAAACTTGTCTTCCAACTACAATCTAGCTATGCTGCCAAGGTTTTTCTTTTAAATTAAAACAAAGAAGAAGGTATTAGTCTAGCCAGACAAAGTGATACATGTCTATAATCCCAGCATTGGGAGGTTCCGGCAAGAGGATATGTTTAAAGCCTGGGATACAAAGAGACCCTCTGAAAGACTCTGTAGAGAGACAATACAAAACAAAAACAAAACAAAACAATTATTGTACCTTTCCTGCCCTCTCTTAGTTTGCTAACATCTTTAAAGCAACTACTAAAGGAAAAATTTGTAGTTATTACAAAATTCCAGCTGGGACATGTCACATTTTTTTTAATGTTTCCAGTTCTGACACTACCATGTATATGAATGACATCAAGAATGACAAAACGAGCAGGGCACTAGTAGCTCATGCCTGTTATCCTAGTTACTCAGGAGGCTGAGATCTGATGATCATGGTTCAAAGGCAGCCTAGGCAGAAGAGTCCATGAAACCCTTATCTCCAATAAACTAGTCAGAAAAAGCCCAAAGTGGCACTGTGGCTCAAGTGGTAGAGTGCTAGCCTTGAGCATAAAGAGGATCAGGGACAGTGCCCAGGCCCTGAGTTCAAGCTCTGGGATCAGAAAAAAAAGAAAAAAGAAGAAGAAGAAGAAAAAGAATGACAAAACACCCATTTGTGATATTTGTTCTTAAGATGTACACCAGAAAATGAGCACAGGCCTCCTTACCTTGGCATTCAACTCATCTACTATGAAGTGACAAAGGGCTGCTTTGAAGAAGTAATCCTTTGCACTGTACTTCAACAAAGGATTATCCATAGTGTTAGCCCCCACCTAGGTATAGAAAAGAGTTAAGTTGAAAAAGGTATTAGGCAAAATAATTCCCTGCTCATTCATTACCCTTTAGAAAATACTTACTTACACTTGCATTGGGTCAGCTATGGAATATATTATTTTAACTCAATACTATGTATCAAGTGGAAGCCTGTTAAAAATGATTACGAAAACCTGCTTCCAGGAAGAGGGAGAAGGTATATTTTCCTCCTCCTTGCTAAATACAAGGGAAAGTTCTGCTCATCATATTCAAAGCAAACCTCTGTGAAAGGTAAACAGATGGGGTCAACCAATGAGGAGCCTGAGAAACAGGGAAAACATGATGGTGAGGGCTACTGGGCTTCCCTTCTTTCTTCTTCCTCCTCCCTCCCTCTTCTTCCTCTTCTTCCTTCTTCTCTCCTCCTCCTTCTTTTATTGCCTAGTTTTCTTTGTTCTTTTAATTTTGTTCAGTTTTATTTTAAAAAATTATCTTTAAATAGTTGTACAAAGGGGTTTCAATTTAAGATAACAGTATCTTCTTTATCCTTCCTAAATTCCTCATACAGAATTAGTGACACAGAATGCTAGTGGGCATGGATCAGAAGAGATAAGGCAAAAGTTTGTTCTCTCTAGCCAAAGGACAGGGAAAAGGGCAGAGCAGCAAGAGCAGTGCTTAGACAATTAACAGCTCTACTCCAGCCCAGGGAATGCTAGGTCTTTCCATTTCCCAGCTAGAGTGGCAACAGAAAGCTACCAAGGGTGAAGATTTCCATTACCAAATGGTTACAATCACTACTCTAACATGGTGTTAGCAGAGACTTGACAGGGAGTAGAGATACCACCCACCTCTGCTCATGAGGGTCTAGTGGGAAGCCTGAACTTCTAACTTTACCAGCATTCCCACTGCCCCCACGCCATTCCCTAGGCAGAGGGGAATCAAAGGATTCTAGCTGAATAAAAAGTTTAAATAAGGTATCAAGCCTTCTAATAATAGGACAATGCTGTTTTAAGTGAAAACCATTTGTAATACTAAAAACAAGACAGATTTGAAGCAGAATACAAAGAGACAATAGATGATTTGCAAATAACAGAAATGTTAGAAATCTAATAAAGATTTTTAAAGAAGCCCTCATGACCAAATGCTTCAGCAGAAATTACAAAAATATCTTAAAGGAAGAAAGGAAGAAGGAAGGAAGAAAGAAGAAGGGAGAAGGAAGAAAGAAGCAAGCAAGCAAAGAAGGAAGGAAGGAAGGAAGAAGGAAGGAAGGAAAGGAGGGAAGGCAGGCAGGCAAGCATCAGGACTGCTATATTTTGCAATGGTGACATATTTGCCTACAATGAATAAAACTCTAGGTTAGGTTACCCATACCAAAAAAGAAAAAGAAAGAAGAAAAAAAGAGAAAAATATCAACAAAGAAAAAAATGTCACAGGAAAATACCCTAGAAGATATCAAGCAAAAATGGAGATTACAGAACTAAAGATCACAATAACTAATGTACGTAAACTGGCTGGGTTCAATGGCAGAATGGATTGGTAAAGGGAAGGGATCAAGGCAGAAGAACAGAAATCAGACTGAACAACAAAGAAAAAAGACAAAATAAATAAGCAAATAGAGCACTGTGTGCCCATGCAACTAGGACAAGGTATAACATTTGTGTTTGAGTCCTAGAAAGACAGGTCAAAGAGAGAAAGGCTAAAAAGTACTTGAAGAAATTATCACCAAAAACTTCTCAAATTTGGTAGGAAACATAAACCTACAGGTTGCAACAGGATAAAAGTCAAGGCATTCATCCTGAACCATATTATAATTAAGGAAAACATTAGAAAAGCCTCAGAAAAACACTAGCCTATGTGGGAAAAGAAATCTAGGTATCAATAGATTGCTCATCATAGACCAAGAAAGCTACAGACTACACATGTTCAAAATATGTAGAAAAAACTATTAATCCAGAGTTCTACATCCAGTGAAAGGATGTTTCAGAAATGAAAAGGAAGTCAAGATACTCCCAGATAAAAACAAGAAGAAAATGTGTTGCCAGGAGACTTACCCTCAAACAATGACAAAAGTATGTTCTCTAAATAGTAAAGAAACAATTTAAAAAGAAGAGTCCCTAGAACAGCAGGAGCAAAGGAAAAATAGTAAGCTAAATAATGTAGAGCTGTGGCCCAGAGTTCAGGCCCCACAACTGGTAAAAAAATAAAAATAAATAAAAAATGTAATACAGCAGACTTTCCTTCTCTTGAATTTGTAAAACTATGTTCCATGGTTAAAGCAAAATTCTATCACAGACAGTTGTGGTTCTAAATGTATACACAGGAAATATTTAAGATAATTATATATTGAAGAAGGGTAATTAGAGAACTTAAAATGAGTCAGCAGTTCTGTATTTCGCTGGAACTGATTAAAATGGTGATATCATTAGTCTGTCATCAGCTATGTAAACATAATATCCTCGAACACTGAAAAGAGCTATTCAAAAAAATACATTCCAAAGCACCACATAAAGCCAAGTAACCCCTCAAGAAGCCAGGAAAAAGAAAACAGAGAAACAAACAAACAAAAATCCAGCAAAGGTAGAAAGCGAAACATACAACAGCAGAATTAAACTCTAACACATCAGTAATTACATGTATCAGAAATCAGCTAGTTGGAATCCCCTTTTTTTTCCAGACAGAAATTGTATGTAGACAGGAGAAAGTCCTCCAGTTATTCTAGGCCCTAATAGATGTTTGCAAGCCTCAGCAATGGGTGACAGCAGGCAATAACGGACAGCCCAAAGCCTTTGACACCTAGGGCAGGGCTTGACTTCTGGGTCTTTGGGTTTGGTTCTAGGTTCAAAGTGTTATATATCTCTTGATGTTGTGTCTACTTCACTTGGAGGAAGGCTCTTCATCCTGCTGCTGCTGCAACCTCCCCCACTCTCCTCTGCAACGCCCTACATGCAGGCCCTGTCAGCCACCACCTGCCTGAAGTTACATGTTGAAGATCCCTGATGCTCCAGAAGTCCCCCTGCTGCCACTCTTGCCAACACAAACTGACTCTAGTGCTACCAGCAATTGGCCCAATGCCCTTCCTGCCTATGGCTCTCACTGCCCTGCAGATGCTGCTGCTGCTCTTCTCTTCATCTTCCTGGCTCAGCTGCTCTACAAGCGATGAGACTCAGAAGTGTAGGCAAGGCGGGCCACTCAAGAGGAGGCTACTGGATCTGCTGCAGCAACACCAGGGGCCAGTCCCCAGAGGGTGTCTTTTAGATGTTCACAACCAGCATATAAGTCCAGAAGGGGTGTCTGCACCAAGCATGGCAGTCCCTTCATGCAAATATCTGTATCATTCTTAGATCTTCTTTTGGGCCACCAGGAAGTGAATCCCTCTGGTCTGGGTAGGAATGGCTACAAGGATTCTACAATGCTCTGAAGATTGTGGTGGCAGAAAGTCCAGTTCAAGCTACTTGCTGGGCAGTGTGGTTTGGGTGCTAGCATGATGACAGTCCATCTGCCTGGCTGGCTCAGGGACTTGGGGAAAGGGTCTAATGGTTGTTAGTGAGATAGTTAAATCTCCCCATCCCCTAACATTCAATATTTAGCACATTTAAATGAAAAATAAACTTTCAAGAGGGTGTTTATATAAACCATTAACAGTATTATAATAGTATTTAGCAGCACTCTAGCAATGTGTAACTCCTGCCTGTTCTCCAAGAGACAAGAGGGTTCCTTCTATCTGTTTAATTCATGGTTAAAAGGGACATTGATAGGATAGATTTTATTTTTATTATTTATTTATTTATTTTCCCAGTCCTGGGGCTTGAGCTCAGGGACTGGACACTGTCCCTGAGCTTCTTTTTCTCAAGGTTAGCACTCTACCACTGAGCCACAGCACCACTTCTGGCTTTTTCTGTTATGTGCTACTGAGGAATCGAACTCAGGGCTTCATGCATGCTAGGCAAGCACTCTACCACTAAGCCACATTCCCAGCCCCAGATAGATTTTAAAATATAATCAACTGTAAGAAACTCAGGAAAATTTCTTCAACTATGATACAGACAGACTTAAAAAAGATGGAAAGATATACATATATGTAAATATATAAACATTAATCTAAAGAAAGTACAAGAGACCATTAAGTAGATAGACTTCAAAGCAAACACAATTATCAAACACCATGAGGTATATTAAGTAATATTAAAAAGGTCAACCTACTAAGAGCAGCGTTCTAGAGCTGTAACATATGAGAAGCAAAGACTGACAGAATGAAAGAAAAGATGGACAAGCTACAATGACAGCAGGAAACTTCAAAATACAGCTCTTATAGTGAGGACTAGACAGGAAATAAGCAATATAGAACCCAATATTCTATAACACAACAGGCTCTAAGCAACACCGAAGAGAACAGACCAACACAAAGCATTGGTGGCTTATGCCTGTAATCCTAGCTACTCAAGAGGCTAAGATCTGAGGATCATGTCTGAAGTCAGTTGAGGCAGGAGATTCTTAATTCCAATTAACCATCAAAATAGCTGGAAGTGGAGCTGTGGTTAAAGTGGTAGAGTGCTAGCTTTGAACAAAAAAGCTCAGGGACAGTGCCCAGGATCTGACTTCAAGTCTCAGGACCTGTACAACCACAACCACAACAACAAACCAGACCACCCTACAATAGCAGTACCTCAAAACACATACTAACACAGACTATATTCTGAACCATAAAATAATCCTGAACAAATCTGTAAGACAGTTACTAGTCAAAATTTATTCTGGATGTATTCTAGATAAGATTAACATCAGAATCAGTAGAATGCATAAAGCAGATTATACTCCCTAAAGTAGATGGTTCTACTTAATCTACTGACTACATAAAACAGAGGGTAAGTAAAGAACAATTCAGCTGGGTGCCAGTGGCTCACACCTGTAATCCTAGCTACTTAGGAGCTGAGATCTGAGGATTGCGGCTCAAAGCCAGCCCGAGCAGGAAACTTCATGAGACTCTTATCTCCAATTAACCACCAGAAGACCAAAAGTGGTGCTGTGGCTCAAGTGGTAGAATGCTCACCTTGAGAGCTGAAGAGCTCAGGGACAGTGCCCAGGCTCAGAGTTCAAGCCCCATGACCAACAGCAACAACAAGAAGAACAATTAATATTCAATGCCTGACTGGCCTAGAGTTGAGACACTGGTCTTCTCCTGCCTTTGGACTTAGACACAGACTTGGACTGGAACTGACACAATCTGATCTTGATCCTTAGCTTGCTGACTCAAGACAACGGGCCTCATCAGCCTCCACCAAGAGAGTCAACTCCTTATACTCATCTTTCCCTCTCCTTTCTCTATGCACTGTGCACATGCATGCACACATACATACGTATTGGCTCTGTTTCTCTAGAAAACCCTAATATACTCATTTTTAAAAATTAGTATACAGTAATCAGTCAGGAGCAGATATCATTGTGACATTTCCATGCATGTTTACACTGCATTTCAGTCAACTTTCTCCTATCTTATCACTCTCCCTTATCCCCTCCTTTCTAAAACAATTGCAATAGGTTTTATTTTTCTATTTTCAGACAGGCAACCAATCTACTTGGACTACTGCCCCATCCTTAGTATACTCTTTAAATACACATTCAGAAGTACTATTAAAATGCAAGATGACTTCTTTGGAGAGATTAGCAAGCTGATTCGAAAATCTGTGTGGAAATGTTAAGATAAAGACTAGCCCAAATAATCTTGAGAAAAAAGAAAAAAATTGTAGAAAGTTCTTGATGTCACCATTTCTATAAAGATACAATGACAAAGAGTACAAAGATAATCAGACCAATGGAGTAGAAAACCTGGAAACAAGCCCTTATAGGTTGGGTTTCAGTAAGGAGCTCAGGACCATTCAGCAGAAAACAGTCTATTCAACAAACAAAGTGAGGTAAACTGGGTTTCTACATGCAAGAGAATGAAGCTGTATGCTTATCTAATATGCACATAAATAAAATAATTCAAAATGTAATAAAGACAAGCCTAAGAGCTAACACTAAAAAGCTCATAGAATAAATCATAGGGCGAGAGTTTTATAACATTTGATTTGGCCGTTTTCTTGGATATCACACCAAAGGCAAAGAAAACAGATGATAAAAACAAACTAGACTTCAGGAAACTTAAAAATGTTTGTCAATCAAAGGACATGATAATAGAGTATAAAGGAAACCCAAAGAATGTGAGGAAATATTTCCAAATCACTTATCTGATAAGGGACTAATATTAAAGATAAAGCACTTTTAAAACTCAACACTGAAAAACAACTCAATTAGAAACTAAGAGAGGACTCATTACCAAAAGCGTGAAAAAGACAACCTATGCAAAGAGAAAATACTTGCCAATAATAAATCTGATAGGGGTTAATATCCAGAATATATATAAAGTGTCTACAGTTCTACAACAAAAAGAGAAAAACCAACTAAAAGATTGGCAGATGCAGGGCACTGGTGGCTTACGCCTGTAATCCTAGCTACTCAGGAGGCTGAGATCTGATGATCGAGGTTCAAAGCCAGTCCAGGCAGGAAAATCCGTGAAACTATTTCCAATAAACTACCAGAAAACTGGAAGTGGCACTGTAGCTCAAGTGGTAGAGCGCTCGCCTTGAGCTGAAGAGCTGAGGGATAGTGCTCAGGCCTAGAGTTCAAGCCCCACAACCAAAAAAAAAAAAAAAAGACTGGCAGAGGACTTGGATGGGTATTTCTCTAAAGAAGAAGAAACTGATCCATAAATACATGAAAAGATGTTCAACATCACTAATCATTGAGAAATCCAAACCAAAACTGCAATGACAACACTTCATGCTCATTAATATCAAATTAATATGAAATTAATATAAAAAATAAAGCAAGTGTTGGTGAGGATGAACAGAAACTGGAGGATTGTATATGGCTTGTAGAAATGCTAAATGATGCAGCATGGGAGTATAATGGTTCCTTAAAACAGCAATATGGGGCTTCCCACATAGGCCCAGCAGTTACAATTCCATCCCAAAGCATAGAATAATGAGAACAGAAAACGCATCCTTATAAAAATCGAAATGCAAATGTTCCTAATAGTATTCTTTATAGCTCTAAATGTCATCAATTGATGATGAATATATGATGGGTATTATTTGAAAAGCAACAAAGCACTGATACACTCACAGTACTAATGAACCTTGAAAATGTCACATGAAAGAATCCAATCACACAGGACACATGTTGCATGATTTCACATATATTCAAGGTTTAGGAATGGGAAAATCCACAGAGACAGAAAACAGGTTGTTGTTCAGGGACTGGGAGGAAAGGGGAATGGAGCAGTGGGCTTTTGTGGGGAGTGATGAAAATGTGGTAGAATTAGGTAGTGGACATGACTTAATGAATATAATAACGGCCACTGAGCTTCCTCACTAGAAGGATGAACTACATGAAATGTGCATTCTCTCAATTAAAAAAAGCTAAATAAAGCACTGAACATGAAAGAACCATCTGGTTTCTAGCTGAAGGGACAGCAGTATCCTCACCTGCTCGTAGATTTCAATGGCTTTCTGGTACTGCTCCAGTTGTGCGGCGTAGGCTGCCACCTTCAGCAGACACTTGTTAGCTGAGCTAAAATTAAGGACCAGAGCAGAGTAAGCAACAACCCACATGAAAAATAAGAGACGACTGTTCATGGACCCCAGGTACATGAGGATATTTGCATTTGGTACAAAAACAGATGACTTGTCTTTTATCACCATACTAAAACTCATTTATTAATATTAAAAACATGAACACTTGCCTGTTAGACTCTTCTCCTTTGTAATAATCAGCAGATTGTTCATAATGTGCAATAGCCTGAAAATAAATACATTTCATTCACAAACGGTTCATTTGAAGAGCTGCATTTAAAACTATGTTTATAGCCCAGTGTGGTTGTTCAAGCCTATAATTCCAACTATTTGGGAGATGGAGGAAGGAGGTTTGCCTTTAAGGCTGCCCTCAAAGACCAAGACCCTATCTGAAAAACAAACTAAACAAAAGCAAAAGGATGAGACATGGATCAAACGGTAAAGCTCTTGCCTAGCGAGTATGAGGCTTGGAGTTCAATCCTCAGTCAGTACTGTCAAAATAAGCCATTACATTTGTGCAGCTATTTCTTTCTTTCTTTTTTTTTTTTTTTGGTTGGTCGTGGGGCTTGAACTCTGGGCCTGAGCGCTTTCCCTGTGCTCTTCAGCTCAAGGCAAGCGCTCTACCGCTTGAGCCACAGCGCCACTTCTGGTTTTCTAGATGTTTATTGGAGGTAAAATTCTCATGGAGTTTCCTACCCAGGCTTGCTTTGAACTGTGATCCTAAGATCTCAGCCTCCTGAGTGGCTAGGATTACAGTGTGAGTCACTGGTGCCCAGCTCTTTATTTTTTGTCGGTCATAGGGCCTGAACTTTGGGCCTGGATACTGTCCCTCAGCTCTTCAGCTCAAGGCCACCGCTCTACCACTCGAGCCACTTCTGGCTTTTTCTGCTTATGTGGTGCTGAGGAATCGAACCCAGGGCCTCATGCATGCAAGGCAAGCACTCTACCACTGAGCCACCTTCCCAGTCCATGTGTATATATTTCTTCTAGAACTCAACCCTATTCTAGCAGTCATCTTCCACAACTTGGCCTACTTTATTTAGTAAATACAGGAAAGCATATACCTCTGTAAACCTATAGTGCTAGAATGCTCCCTATTAATTAAATCTGTTTTTTTTTTCTTCCCCACAGCAAACATCCAGTTATACCATCTTCCTAGCCTCCACTGTGGTAAAGGTGGTCAGGTGACTAGTTCTTTTTGATGGAATATAAACAGCCATTTTCAGGCTAGGGATACACACACATCTCACTCTACACTATTCTTCAGATCTCTGACAAATCCCATAAGCTAGAATGGCAATAGCCAACTCTAGTGTAATATTGGAAGTCACAGATTTCTAAATAATCTCAGCCTGCCTTCTAAATAACCTCAAAGGTAGAATGTAACCTAATCCTAGTGTACCCACCACTAGAAATCCACAACAGCTACACCAGATTGTATTTCAGAAAGGAGTGAAGCACTGCTAGACCTGCAGCACTGGCTACTCTCAAAACCACAGAGGTTCTGTGAAATCAAGCAATAGGACAAGGTAGAATACATAGCTGCTGAAGCTGGAACTATGCAAAGCAGCTGAGAAGAGCTGCATGAGTATATTTCTGTTTCCAGCTACATTTTATGAGGAATGAATGCTGGAAGGAATTAGCTGGTTTACAAGCAAGTATGAAAGTCAATAGGCCACATCTAGAGATAAGGGTCTCATAAAATTGGAAAAAACAGTGACTGCTATATCCCACATGGGAAGAGGTAAGTAAGTCTGCAAATGCTTTACGCCAGAAATCTGGAAAACTTCTGCAACAGGTCAGATAATAAGTATCTTGGATCTTGTGAGTCAAATCATCTCTGTAGCAGTGCAGTCCCCGACAGTATGGCCATGAACACAAAAATGAGTATGGCTGCATATAGGGATACAATGACATTTCAATTTCACATTATTATTATTATTATTATTTTTGCTTATGTGGTGCTGAGGAATCGAACCCAGGGCCTTATGCATGCAAGGCAAGCGCTCTACCACTGAGCCACCTTCCCAGCCCTCACATTATTATGTGTCACAAAATGCTTTTTCTCTAACTGAAAAAAAAAACAATGCAAAAACTATTCTTAGCTTGCAGGCACAAAGATACAAGGTTGGTAGGCCCCTGCTTTAAATTACAAAAGTTTCTCAATAAGCCCCAGAGAGAGCTAGCAGCATACAAAGATCAGATTAAAGGTGCTAGGCACAGGTTCAAGAAAACAGTAAATAAAAGGCTTGGAAACTATGTCAGAATACCATTTAGGGCTTTGTTTCCTGCCACAAGGAATGGACTAGAAGCAAATAAGGGTTGGCCTGTAGACAGTATGTAGACAGTAGCAATAGCCACCAGAGCAGCACCATCTCTGACGTCACAGGAAGAAGGCAGAAGAGCCTTCTGTAGTGCAGAGTACCTACACCATTCAACTTTGCACACTTTTATAAAAAAAAAAAAAACCAGACATGTTTACTGTTTTGGAAAAATCAGGTTCACTTAAGGCTATCCTAATTAATATGCAAATTATTTTCACCTGACAATGTGCATCTTCTCCTACTGAAACACAGGCTTTATAAGGGCAGATTTCGGAACTGCTGCTCACCACTACAGCCCTGAGCCTAGTTTATAATGCCTAGCATAGGGTAGGTGCTGAGTGAATAAACATAAACAACACCACAAATGAAAAGCCCCCTACTGAACTACTGCCAATATTTTGATTAATTTGTAATGTTAGGAAAAAATGCTTTTCAATGTATTGATGGTTACTTAAGAAACAACAACAAAAAACCCTTCTTGGGGCTAAATATGTACATCAGTGGTAGAGTGTACTTATTACACAAGGCCCTGCTCTCCCCACCACAAAATAACTCCTTCTTTGAACTGTTCTCCTGCTCTGAAGTATATAGTATAGTTTCCCATTGTAATCAAACAGAGTAAAATTTTTGAAAAGCAAAACATAACAAAAAATCATTCTGTAGAGTAAATGATTATAAAACCTCTTCTGGAAGAGGTTAAATGTCCAATGGACTCTTAACAGGAGGTGAAATCTTCCAGGCACAAGCAGGCGAATGCTCTACCTGCTGTCTCTGCTTCTGATGCTTTCATGCTTAAGAGTCCACTATGTAGGTGAAATAGCCTCAAAGACCCCTTCCATGGGACCAGTGCTTTTAGAACCAACGCTCTGAGACAGGATCTAATGGCCAGCCTGTCAGCCTGTCATATATGTCTAACCTAGCTTTAGTAAACAGTTTTAAATTATGCTCCTCAACAGCTGAAAAGAAAATTGAGCCAGAGCTCCCCTGGATCATTTAAAAACACCGTCTAAAGAGGATTCATATGGCTGGGTTTACCATTTTACCTCATGAAATTAAAAGTAGAAACTGAGTTCATGACATGTCACACTTTACTGACCAATAGCTTAAATCTGAATCAGGGAATAAACTCTGGGTAGTATTAATAGAGAGTCAATCTATTTGTAATAAACCAGATACAAGGTATCTTGGTGAAAGTGATTTTTCAAACATAAGCTTCATATACCACTGATTGCATTTTTTTGGAAGAAGGAAAGAGATGGCAATGATGTTTGTAAATAATGCAGGAGCCCAAAATAAGGAAACATAATGAGCTAACCCAAGTGTATATGTATAGTAGTATGCTTGAAAAAAAGTTTTGAGGCTGGTTTTACTGTATAGTCAGGCTGAGCTCGAACTCCAAATCTTCCTTCCTCTACTTTTTGAGTGCTAGTATTACAGGCATGTACTGCCACTTCAGGTCCATGCTTTCTAAAACTTTTACAGAACAGACCACAGGAGTGAGAATAGTGCCACCTACTGGCAAAGCATAGAATGGCAGAAACATGAGGGGTATTTTATTTTACTTTTTGGGTCCAGTTGTGGGGCCTGAACTCTGGGCTTGGGTGCTGTCCCTCAGCTCTTCAGCTCAAGGCTAGCGCTCTACCACTTGGGCCACAGCGTCACTTCCGGCTTTTTTTTTTCTGTTTATGTGGTGCTGAGGAATCGAACCCAAGGCCTCATGCATGCAAGGCAAGCGCTCTACCACTGAGCCACCTTCCCAGCCCACATGAGGGGTATTTTATTTATTTATTTTTTGTGTGAGGGGTATTTTAGAAGCTACTTTGACAAATCAAAGGGAAAAAACATTGTGTTACAGATAATTATACTCTGGTGGAAGAAATGACATGACACTGAGAGGGGTCTGGACCCAAGTGCTCTTCTGATTGTCATGAACTAGAAAACTAATCCAGGAAGACATTGGTGCAGTGTTTGTCTCTGAAAGACTCACTCAACCTCAATAAAGGTACATGCCCATCACAGGCACTCTGACCAAGCAAAGACCCCAGACACACCAACTCGGTATCCTTGTGTCCTGTCCCATCACTAGGCCCACACCAGAGAACAACTGAGGGCTCAGCTCCAGGCTCCTTTACCTTTACTCGGGATCCACAGATAACCCCAGAGGTTATCTCAGAGGCACATGCCAGGGCACGGGTCATGGTCTCAGCTAGGCATGACATGGCAATGGGACAGGGACAACCATTGAGTAGTGTGTGATGAGTAGGAGCACGTTTTGTGTTGAATAACAAAAGGCGGTGGTCAACATGTCAAAAGGGCCTCCATGTTAACCATGGGGCTCCAGACTTAGTGCTGCCTCAAATATGAAATGGGGATGTGGTCTGCTTATTCAGCTGAAATTTATTTAGGGACCTTGGTACCTATCAGAGAAATGGAGGCAAAGCTCGCTGCTGACACAGGCACCACATCCAGCAGAGGGCAAGGGACACAAATACTAGGAACAATAAGCAAGTATATACTAACATATGATAAAAGGTGACACATGTTGCATGATTAGAGAAAAAAATGAGTGAGGTATTCATGTGTGCTGGAGAAATAATCCTGTGGGTTATGAATTTAACTGTACAGCTCTTACAGGCCTCAGGGGAAAGGTGATACAATGAAGAGAAACATGGAAAAGTCAGCCACTGGGACTTGGCGGTTGTGAAGCTAGCCATATGGACATGTAAGGTGGCTGAGTGGGCAGAGAGTCAGATGGATGTGTGGTGCACACCTGTAACCCCAGCACTCGGGAGGCAGAGGCAGAAGGATTTCAAATTCTAGGGCAGCCTTGATCACATAGTGAGCGTCTACCTCAAAAACAAACAAACAAAGGTCCTGGGGGGTGGATGTTGGGGATTTCAGCTCAGTGGAAGAGCACTTGCCCGGCAAGGCCCCAAGTTTGATCCTCAGCTCTAGTGGAGGGGCAGGAGCTCATCTGGCAGCAAAGAAGCCATGGTGGCAGGAACAAGGGACAGCAAGGGAAACTGATGGACAGAGATGCATGAGGAGCACAGACAGGGCGGGAGGAGCAATCCAGTGGGGTGATAAAGACTGATTACATGGCTCCTTCTGCTCCTGTGAGCAAAGGTGGTGCTAATAAGAGCTGGAAGCAATGGAGAAACTGCTTCAGAGGATTCACAAAGTTCATGCTGGTTTCTCAGTTACAGAAGGGCTTGGCATGGGCAGGGGGGACGGAAGTGAGGAGACCAGGTAGGAGGCTCCTATGGTAATGTAGTGAAGTGCTGAGACTGAAGAGCAGGAGGACAGCCCACAGAAACTGCTCACCTGTTGGATGAAGAGTGGGGAAAAGACACGGTAGCCTGCCATTTGAAGGGGAAGACTGAGGTGGGTATGGCACTTGAGCTCTTACCTCAAGGCCTTGAGATGACAGTTGGACCTAAGTGGAAAGGTGAGCAGGTGGGTGGGTTTCACCGGGAGTTTGGAGCAAATCTGTGCTGCAGACAGACTTGTGTTTCGCTGGCACACAGACGGAAAAGCAGTACCACCAGAGGTGCTTCACCGTCTTCCCAGAGCCTCAAGAGACCTTCACTACATGACTGAAAATTACTTTGGTCATACTAATGTTCTGATATGAATTAGTGTACAAACAGTGGCTGAATTTGGTTAAGTCTCCACAGCTATCTTGTCTTAAACACTCATTCTAGCAAAGCACCCCCCCCTACCCAGCCAGCCACTCCCAGAAGTCTCAGGAGACCCCATGATACTGCAAGCACTCAAGCACTGAAGACAGGGAAGGCCCCTGGAGTCTTCCTTCCGCTTTCTTTGCCACTTGCAGAGCTGTGTCCCACACTTACCTTCTCAATGTCCACGAGCTCAGTCTCATAGATCTCAGCAATAGTGATGTGGTGCTTTGCTGCGATTGTAAACCTTCCCTAGGAGGAAAAATCCGGAGTCAGACATATGTTTTACCTATGTGAATACCAAGCAGAGTTTTGAAACAGAAAAACAATCAAACACAATGACTTTAAGCCATGTTAGGGATTCCACCCCATAGCCACTCAAGCAAAGCAACATCTTACCATGTCTGTGTAAATGTCGATGGCTGCATTTAAGCAGTTGATAGCCTCTGAAGCGTAGGCATTTAAGAAAAACAATGAAAAATCCATTCAGTCAAAGAGGGTTCAGGTGAGCCTGTCTTCTTGGCTGTTATTAGAGGGTAATGAGGTACAATTTGGGTGGGAGGATGGGCAGGTCAGTTAGTAAAGCAAACACAAATCATGCACAAGTCCAAGTTCATGAGCATGGCTTTGTTCCTAGCAGCTAAAGGCTGATTTAAGGAAATGTGGCTGGAGTATTAATTGGCTCAGTGCTCTTAACCTTAAAGTGAAACCTCTATCCAAGGTGGCAGACTGTGTTACAAAGAAAACAAGACTATGGGGATTATCACCAACACTGATACACCATGTCTGCTAATACATGAAGTAAATGTATTGTTCATTAATGTCATGTGAATATATATTAATTTTAGAAGATGGTGTTGCTTAACAAGAAAGGCCAGTTCAATTGATTCTACCATTTACGTGGCTGCAATTAATAGAGATGCTTGTGCCGGGCGCTGGTGGCTCACGCCGGTAATCCTAGCTACTCAGGAGGCTGAGATCTGAGGATCTCGGTTCAAAGCCAGCCCGGGCAGGAGAGACCGTGAGACTCCTATCTCCAATAAACCACCAGAAAACCGGAAGTAGCGCTGTAGCTCAAGTGGTAGAGTGCTCGCCTTGAGCTGAAGAGCTGAGGGACAGCGCCCAGGCCCAGAGTTCAAGCCCCACGACCGACAAAAAAAAAAAAATAGAGAGATGCTTGTTTAGATAGCTCAGACACGTTCAAAGATGCTAACTTGTGGTATACTAATGTATCCAAAAAAAGGAAGAAAAAATCTAATAAATGATCATGTTAATTAATCACATTAATTTCCTGAAACAGTAAGCCAAGAAATTTCCTGTCACCAAGTAGGTATTTATACTGCTGGCCTATGACGGACAGCTCTAAGTTAATTGCTTTTGGTTTGAAAGAGGCACGATGAGGCAAAGCTTTACTTAAGAATTAGAAAGATATCTACAACAATAACAATTAAAAGCAATTTCCCCTTAAACTATATAAACTACATGAATTCACTGTTACACCTTTAAAAATACAGGAAAAAAAAACACCCCAGAGTAAACAAGATTTGCCTCTAACTCTACAGAAACACGGTTAAATGTAGGAATCGGTTTTTCTTTCTATGTTTTGGATGTATTTCTATGTGTACATACTTGTTTTCTGAAATTGTAATCATTCAGTCTTATGGGGTTCTTTAATAACCTTGGGAACATTTTATTAAGTCATGAAGGGCTTTTGAAATCAGGGATTTTTTTTTAAGACAAGGTCTTGCTGTATAGTCCAAGCTGTCCACTGTCCTGCTTTGTTTCCTGAATGTTGGGATAATAGGTGGCACCTCTACCTGAGGCTTGCAGGCAGGGATTTTACTGCCCGTGTCATGTTCTAAAATATTGATCCACTACAACCATACCATTCTACATCTCCTTCTCACACCGACTATATCATTTATCACTTTAGGAAAAAAAAACTGTGATTAATCTTTATATAAAAGCCCTCGAAATACCGTATTTCTGTATAATTTATTCATAAAAATTGGGACTTACATGTTATACAAAATGAGCTAGAAACAAACAAAAATAGAAAGAAAAATAGGAGACTCAAACGTATTCATGTATAAATGCGAGAAAAAGATATGAATACTTTTAATTGCAAAGTCAAATTACCTAATGAAAACAATGATAGTTCCAAATTTTTACCACTTTACATATCTAATTTCATTTTTTTCTCTTTTAGATACCTTAGAAAAATACTTCTTAAAAGTGAGGACAGGCAGGATGACTTAAACCTGTAATCTCAGCTATATGAAAGTGGAGACCAGAAAGATCACGGGTTCAAGGCTAGCCTGGGCAAACATTTGTTGAGATCTTATATCAATAAGCTGGGCGTGGTAACATATACCTGGGACCCCAACTATGCAGAGACTGTAGATGGGACTGTCTAAGTCTGGGTAAGGAGTTGGGGGAAGCAAGACTTTTCCTGAGAAATAAAGCAAAAAACACTGGGGACATAGATCAAGCGAGACAGCACCTGCCTAGCAAATGTGAGGCCATGAGTTCCAACCCTAATACCACAAAAATAAAACAAAGCAAGATCAAAATGAGTGCTAGGTGCCTACGGCATGTTTTTAACAAGTAGATATTACCATTTCCCACTAAGTAGGTCTTAAAATTCAATGAGTATTTAGGAGGAAGGAACACTAGAATTTTCTTGTTAGTACAGGAATATATTTCATAAAATTGAAATACAGGAGCCAGGTGTGGCTGTCATACCAACTTGGGAGGTAGAGGCAAGAAGACCACAACTCCCAAGATCAGCCTGGGCTACAAAGTAAGACTTTGTCTCAAAAAACAATAGATATAAGAAGTCTTAGATAAAATTAAAGGTAATTTACACAAAGTTCTCTATAATTCAACAGAAAATTGAACTTAAGAAAATGGTGTCGACAACTAAACAGCCACGATCAAATAAAGCATTTTCCTAAAAGCCCCCAAAGTTCCTAAAGTTCTCTATTTTACCAAAATACAAAACTCTCATTTACTAGGGCTGCATTGATCGACCTTAACTCTGAAGAGAACACTGGCTAGTCAATTACACAGAGAGGGAGGTGTTGCCCTACCTTGAGGGTCTGCCTTCTTGTAGGCATTTCCGGCATCCACAAAGCTGGTAGCCGAGTCATGTTTGCTCTGAAGCTGCATGTGGAGCTTGGCGGCTTGACAAAATGCATTTCCTGCAGCTGAAGAAGAGGCCACAGTTAAACCCAGAGGAGTAAGTCTCCTGAAGAACAGGTCTGGCTTGAAGACTGGCCCTGACTAAAAAGCTTACAGTTCCCTGAGATAGAGCAGTCTAGTAGGAGGTTCCTGCAAACATGGCCAAATGCATATGCTTTTCCATCAGTCCCACAGGGCTTGCCAATGGCCCTAGTCACCCTTTTCTGGTCCACCGTTCAATGCCAGTTCTATCCCACATTCATAAAACAAATATCCAAATTTGTTTCCAGCTATAAATAATTAAAGGAAGGCAAAACATTGAAGCCAAGGATACTTGTTTACACTTTCAAACTTGAGTAGCCACAGGACCTATTTGTCATCATTGAAGAAGCTGATCTCTACTGGATAAAAGCATAATTAAGAATGTCACAGAACTGCCAAGCATGGTGAGATACACCTAGAATTCCGATACTTGGCAGGCTGAGTCAGGAGAAAGGAAAGTAAATTAAGAGATCTTCCTAAGCTACATAGTGAGGCCCTGTATTAAAAAAAGAAAGAAAAAAAAAAGAAAGTTCCTAAACCTTAAGGCTTGTTTTTATTTTATTTGAGCTCAAGGTCTGGGAGCTGTGTCTGAGATGCTTTTTACTAAGGCTAGCACTCTTGCACTTGAGCCATATCTCTGTGTGTGTGTGTGTGTGTTTTTTTTTTAGTGGCTAACTGGAGATGAGTCTCAACAGACTTTTCTTGCCCTGGCTGGCTTGGAACCATCATCCTCACAGCTTCAATCCACAATCCTCAGATCTCAATCTCCTGGTAGGATTGCAGGATTGCAGGTGTGAGACAACAGGGCCTGGACTAGGTCTTTTGTTTTTGTTTTCTTTTTTAATTGTTGTTATGGTTTGGATATCTAGAATCACTCCCCCTTCAACCCTCACAAAAGACTCTTGTATTAAAGGGCTGGTTCACACCTTGTGATGCTATTTTGAAAGGTTATGGAAATTTCAAAAGTAAAACTTTTGACCAGAGGAAGCTGGTCCTAGGAGGCTCTATCAGGGAAACCTTCTCTCTCTCCCTTTCTCTGCTTCCTGACTGCTAGGTGTAATGAACCTCCTCTTCCACATGTTCCTGCCACCATCATGTACAGGGCCAGGCAATCATGAAATCAATCATCTCTTCCACTGTTAGGCTGTTCTCTCAGTATTTTGTTCACAGCCCTCACTAGCACGAACATGAAGTGGCACCCACTGCTATGCTAAACTTTTGCTTTAAATTTATTTGTAAAAAATATAACATCTGGGGCTGGGAAGGTGGCTCAGTGGTAGAGCGCTTGCCTTGCATGCAGGAGGCCCTGGGTTCAATTCCTCAGCACCACATAAGCAGAAAAAAAAGGCAGAAGTGGTGCTATGGTTCAAGTGGTAGAGTGCTAGCCTTGAGCTGAAGAGCTGAGGGACAGCGCCCAGGCCCAGAGTTCAGGCCCATGACCAGAAACCGCGCCCCCCCCCCATAACATCTAATTTAGTTCAAGCTTCAGCTGTGCTCTTTTTGTGGTTCCCATCTTCTTCCCCAGGGATGAGCACTAGCTCCTTTCCCTTAGGTTGAGTTTCTGAACTTTAACTGCTCCCACACTCTGCACAAAAGGCAGTACTAACTCTGGAGCCAGGCTATCAGGTTCCATTCTTGCTCTCTGCCTTAGGTTCTGGGAGGAGGAAGCAGAGAGCAAGCTAGCCTTGAATCTGCTGGCACCTTGACTATAGAGTTTTTAGCTTCCAGAATGGTGAGCAATGCGATTCTGGTTCCCATCAACTACTAGGCTTTCATAGCAGTAGGATAGGACCAAGAGACACTCAAAACTGGGACTGGAGAACCCCTGCTGGCCACTGGAAAATCTGAAGGACAACCGGTCCTGAGGAGGGACCAAGACTACTGCCAGGATAGGGATGGGCAGGAACCTGGGTACTTAAGGCAACAGCTAACCTCTAAGTGGCAGTTTGGCAGTATGCTAGCTGTAGAGTAGCTTTGAGGGACTCTGCTTCAGAAGGATGTGGTACTGGCTTAGACTCCTAAGTGCTTAGAAGGGTCATAGATAGACAGACAGACAGATAGATAGACAGACAGACAGACAGAAAGATAGATAGATATTTGTTATTGTAAAGGTGATGTACAGAGGGGTTACAGTTACATAAGTCAGGTAATGAGTACATTTCTTTTTGAATAGTGTCACCCCTCCCTCATTTTCTCTGTTTTTTTCTCTCCCACAAGTTGTATAGTTCATTTTCAACACAGTATCACGGCTGCATTTGTTCATCCTTTGTCCCACCATTTCTTTGCTCCCTTCCTAACCTTCCCCAAAACAGATAATTTTACATATAAGACAAAAGGTACAGAAATCAAAAACAGTGACAAAGGAGAAAAGAAAAAGAAAAACAACAAGAAGCAAAATAACATAAAACCTCTTCATTTCAAACATCATTTTATGTGATCATATGCCCATAGCTATTGAACCTTTGTGATTTTTTCCTAAGAAAATCCTCCTTTGGTCTCATTGTGTGAAAGTCTAAAGTCCTGTATAATTTATCATGGCACAGTATATTTTTCTGTCTTTTACTATCCAATGTGTTTACTTGTAGATTTGGTAAGGAAATGGAAAGACTTGGAAAAAATTATATTAAGCAAAGTAAGCCAGATCCAAAGAAACATAGGATACATGGTTTTCCTCACTTGTTTTAATGAGTAAGTGCTAAGAAGGGTCTTTCTCGGGTACTGGTTTTAGACATTGTTATTTATGCAGCTTTATCCTTGGTTCGTTCCTGCACCTTGTCATGTTTAAAACATCATCACTTCATTAAAATTTGCTTACTTATCCTCCTGCTAGGATTTCATTTTTGGTGCTTTTGTGTTTATGATCCCAGAGCCCATCCTTTCCTTGCTAAGTGCAGTATTACCGTAGACCAGGGAGAGTACTTGAACTGTATGTTTTGTGCAACAGCTTTTTAAACCAATTGCTGGCTTACTTTTCACTCTAAGCACTCATTCCAGTCATTACCAACAAGTGCCATCTTAATATCCTCAGACCCGGAAACATCTTTAAAGGAATACATTAAACTCAATGGCCCCTGGAAGTCACCCAACTTCTCAGGCTAAAGTTCCTCTATGTGAAAATTGATCGAATGCTGGTAAGAATTAAAACCATTAGCTCAATCACAAGATAACTTCAAAACCATAAAGAGCTGTAATGGTGTTAGGACCATCACCACTGTACCATAGTATAGAGCAAGAAGGACCTTTCAGACTCATCCTGTTGAAAGCATTTTCTCCTTTGAAATAACTTTTAAAGTGTGTCTGTCTTAAAGGCAAATGAGGAAACAGTTTACAGAGAAGTCAGGGGAGACACCCCCCATCACCTGGAAGCTGTGAGCAGAACTAGATTCACATCCCTAGTTCTGGTCTAAGACTGTCTCCATTTTTACTTACTGGGTCATGGAGTCTCTTTTTTGGGTAAGAGGCATTTATTATTTTTTTGTAAATCAATGTCAAAAAGGCATTTTCTGAGAAAATAAATAATGAAGTCAGGCATGGTGGTGCACACCTGTAATCCTAGCACCTTAGGTGGCTGTGGCAGAAAAATGGTTGAGCTGCAGGCTGGTCTGAACTGAATAGTGAGATTCTTTCTCAAAATTAATAAAATAATCAATAATAAAATAATCTGCAGGGGCTGAGTTAGCAATTCCCTCAGGGTGTCAGCTCTCATGATCTCTCAAGCTCTTATCTCAGAAGTAGGGAAGGGTTAGCAATTTTCAACTGATATTTATAAAGAAAATCAGGCATTTCTATGTTTTCCTAGTAGTTTGAGTTTTAAGACTGTAAGGTTCGCCAGAAAGGAAACCACCAGGGGCTGGGAAGGTGGCTCAGTGGTAGAGCGTTTGCCTTGCATGCTCGAGGCCCTGCGTTCAATTCCTCAGCACCACATAAGCAAAAAAAAAAAGAAAGAAAAAAGCCGGAAGTGGCGCTGTGGCTCAAGTGGTAGAGCGCTAGCCTTGAGCTGAAGAGCTGAGGGACAGTGCCCAGGCCCAGAGTTCAGGCCCCACGACCGGACCCAAAAAAAAAAAAAAAGAAAGGAAACCACCAAATGGCTCAGGCAGAAAAGAGTTTATTGGGGGGGAGGGGAGAGCAAACTGAGGGCCTGCACAAGATGGAGGCACATAGAAACAGAGGGAAAGGAAAAAGAAAAAGAGGGGACTCATGTTGAGCTGAATTATATAGGGAAAGGTGGGAGGTGGGGCCACAGCAGATGGGGAAGTGATCTCAGAGCCTGGGAAACCTCTCACTGCCCCAGGGTGGCTTGACCAGGGCAGTTCAGGAAATGACCTCAGCGGATGAGGAAGAGACCTCAGAGCCTGGGATCCTTTGCTGACACACAGTCAGGTGATAGACAGTCAGGTGATTACTGGCTTTAGGCAGGTGAAGAGGAAAGGGAAGGGGCTGCTAACCTAACAAAAACAACTTCCATTCCTTGTGGCACTGTATTTATCTGACAACGTCAGTAAGAAGCAAAGCTTATTCTCCCTAATTCCAAGTAATTTTAGCTTATTACTTGTGAGTCTAATGCCTTAGGGACTGCCCCTGCTCAGTTCCTTTCTATCATCCTGCAAGTGAAAGATACCTGTCACCAGGCCACCACTCTCACTCTTAAGGGCAACACAAATGGTATTTCTTCCTACAAACTGACTTTAACATATCTGTCAGAAAAGCAAACAAGTAAAACCTTTGTACATACCACTCCAGTTCTTAGCCATCTTGAACATATTTGCAGCTCTGGTGTACATTTCACAAGCCTCTTCTATTCGTGTGTTTCCTCTACAAAAAATTTAAAACATGAGGTTATATTTTATTACAACAACCACCCATATTCTTCATCCTCTGGGTGCTGGTGGCTCATGGCTGTAATGAGATCTAAGGATCACAGTTTGAAGCTAGCCTAGGCAGGAAAGTCTTTGGGACTACTATCACTACTACACTACCAAGAAAGCCAGAAGTGGAGCTGTGGGCTCAAGTGATAGAGCACTAGCCTTAAGCAAAGTAATCTTAAGGACAGCACCCAGGCCTTGAGATCCAAGCCCCAGCACTGATACAAACAAAACCAAAACCAAAATAATAATAAATGGTTTTTGGTAGTACTGGGGTAGTACTGGGGCTTGATTCAGGAAAATAATGAACATTTAGTGAATACTTGCTATATGTCAGACAAGTGGGAAATACTATTGCTGTCTCCATATTCCAGATGAGAAAACTGAAGTATATAAAACTGAAGTCACCAACTACAACCACATAGTATAGCTACCATAGAAATGGGACTATAATATTCATCTGGCTAAGTTGGGAGTTCTCTTCCTTATAAGTTATTTTTATGTATATATAAAAACGAAGTTTTTAGTCCAGGTAATTAGAAGTTTATTTCTCAAAGGAGGTTGAATTTGAAGGACAAAGATGCCTTTACCTTGTTTTTCAAGAGTTTACCACTATCTCTGTTCAGACTTAAAAATAAAAATAAAACCTGAAGGCTAGTCATGGTGATACATGCCTGCAACTCCAAGCTTCTAGAGAAAGAGGCAGGAGGGTAAGGAATACAAGCTTAGTTTAGATTAATAGTGAATTCAAAAGCCAGACACTGGTTGCTCATGCCTGTAATCCTAACTACTTGGGAGGCTGAGATCTGAGAACTGAGGTTCAAAGCTAGCCCAGTAAAGACCATGAGACTCATCTCCGGTTAACCACAAAAAAACAGGAAGTGGAGCTGTGGCTCAAAGTGGCAGAATGCTAACCTTGAGCAGAAAAACTCAGGGATAGAGCCCAGGCCCCGAGTTCAAGCCCATAACGATAATAAATTCAAGGCTAGCCTGAGCTAAATAGTAAGACCCTATCTCAAAACAATAAAATAAAAACAAAACAAAAATCAAAGCCTGAATCCAGAGCATCTGGTAGAGTGTCATACTATTCTACTTCGGTATTATGTCAGCTCTGGCCAGGGCAAGCCTTTGCCTCAACATAGCTGGGTGTTTAGAGTGCAGCCCTTACTCAGTACAGAACAGGGCACCAATTGCTAAATGAATACAAGTACTCCTGGAAAGGACAGTGAAGTTCTACAGGGGGCAGCTGATTCCACTGAAGGACAGCTATAAATGCTCAGTTGTGAGAACCTGAAAATCGAAGCTGTGAGACCCCAAAAGGATTGGGAGTTTGGAATGCCTTCTCCCAATATACTCTTGGAATGCTAAGTTTTCTGGGAAAGGTCAATCAGTCTAGGCTTAAGGGGAGCTCACATTCCACCCTAAACTGTGTGTGAGCCTAAGGGTAGACTTAGGTTTATGCAAATTGTCCCTTGTTTACTGTTTGGCTCCCCTTCCCAGAACATACCACTTGTATACAAAATACTGTCACAAGTTGAAATTTGTACTTTACTTCCTTGCCTGAGACCAATAAAAACCTTGGTGAATGGAATCCTGGGATCTGTTATCAGCAGAAGGCTACCTGTACCCTGGTTCCCAAACCTCAGTTCCTAGGAACAGTCTCCATTATTGTAATAGTTCCTGTCACGGTGGATTAAGGAGCAAATGAGGATTGTGACACTCAAACACTCAGTTCATACACAAAATTATCTGTCTGTCCCTAAAGAGCATTAAAAAACAAAACAGTAGGGCGCTGGTGGCTCACGCCTGTAATCCTAGCTACTCAGGAGGCTGAGATCTGAGGATCCCGGTTCAAAGCCAGGGCAGTAAAGTCCGTGAGACTCTTATATCCAATAAACCACTAGAAAACCAGAAGTGATGCTAACTCAAGCAGTAGAGCGCTTGCCTTTAGCTGAAGAGCACAGGGACAGCACCCAAGCCAGGAGTTCAGGCCCCACAACCGACCAAAAAATAAAACAAAACAAGCAAAAACAAAAAAACCCAAACCTTTGGGGGTTATGTTACAGTGAATGACAGAATGGCAAGAAGCCATACCAAAAAAGGAAGCTGAAGAAAGTAGAGCCTTATTCTTATACACCTTTTCTCTTCTTTAAATTTACATTTTTACCACACAATTTGCAAATAGGCTTCCCCAGTGGAAAAGTTTAGCATGTGAAGCTTCTTGATTATAGACACATCTCCCTGCATCTAACAAGGGTTGTCTACTTTCATGGGTCTTGTTTTTCTAAAATGTATCAAGAATTTTAAACTGTAATTACAATGCAATCATTCTTATTAAAGGTTGCTAAATAAAGCGAGTTTAATTAAAATGTACTTCATCCTATTATTTTCAGAGATATAGACATAGCTAAGAATAAGAAAACTCCTATATTTTCATATGTCATACCATTTTCAGTATAACAATCATAAAAGGCACTATCTCTATTTAACAGAAAAGAAAATGGGATCTGGAGGTCAATGGGTTATTCCTGTCACCCAGCCTAGGAGAGTGGCACAGCTGACTCCTGACTTCTTTAGTGATCTTTATAAACACTGAAAAACCCCCAGCTAGACCAAGAGACTGCACCTCCTTGAAACAACACCACAAGTACTCTCATTTATAAAATTCTAAAAACTCCTTTGCTATAAAGAGAACACAACTGTAAAACTTCATGAAAAATTACATTTCAGAAATCATACCAAATGCTTACCTGTATATAAAAGTTAATCTTCATGTTTTAAGGATATTCAGAATCCACATTTAAATTATTCAAATGATTGCTAACCAGAGTTTTCAATAGAGACAAAAGTTTCTTGAACACAGAAATCAGATTCTGTGATATTATGTAATAAAGTAATATAATAAAGTACATGTCACTAAGCTGATAGAGCTAAATTCCTATTTTTTGGTTATTATGGAATTCAGACCTTGAACAGCCAAATGCTTTCTCTACTATAAAATAAAATACTGGCCAGCTGGTAAAAGAACTGCTACCACTCTTTGGCCCAAGCTGGACAAACTGTCTCACTGCTAGCAGCAAGGTGAAATCCCTCTTCCTGACCAAGAAAAAAACATTTGTTGATGTCAATATGTGCCAGAAAACACTAGGAAGAGATTATATTGCCCACAGGAAGGTTAAAATGCTGCAGCAAGAATATCAAACCTCAGGGATGGAAGAAGTCCAAGACAGCACACCCAACCCTATCATATTCCACTGAGGTCAAAATGCCAACACATCCAAACATCAGAAACCAACGAATCCTCAAACAATCTGAATCTTGATTTGCTCCATCCTGAATAATCACTGCTTTAGAGCATTGCACCACACTGGCAATGATAATACAGACTATTTTAAACTGTAGGTGGGAGGAGGGAGGTATCAAAGTAGACATGTGGGAATTAATGGCACACACATCCTGAGATACAGCTGAAAGAGGTGACAAATACTAGGGCAGAAATAAAGTGCCTTAAAATTACAAGATATTATAGTAGCATTATCTCCAAAAGTTACAGTGACAGTGTTGTAAAGATGTGCACGCAGAACTGGGGGTGGGGTGGGAGAGGAGGAATCCAATTCTATCATCAGAATATTCTTATGAAGTTTCAAGCCATATCAATGGACTGGAAAATAAGTCTCACTATTGTTAGTGCTTAAGTCCATGGTGTGCATCTCACACACAGGGCAGTGCTGCCACTGCTGCCTTTACTGTTTCTTTTTCTTTTCTATCCTCCTCCTTCCTCTCCTCTTTCCCCTCCTCTTCCCCTCCTCCTCCTCCTTCTACCCTGCTCTTCCTTTCCCCCTAATCCATCTCCTCATTATTTACCAGCACTATCTCCTAGTCATTAACTTGATCAGAGAAAACATAATACACAATTAAAATAGAAAAGCAGTGTGACAGTTAAAAAAACTATCATATGAATAATATTTTAGGTCTCTTCACAAAAGGAAACTCAACTTTGTGCTCAATATGAGAGATTAACTAAAATAAATCTATTCTGAAAGGTTTAAAATAGAGATAGTTTAGGGCTGGGAAGGTGGGTCAGTGGTAGAGTGCTTGCCTTCCATACATGAGGCCCTGGGTTCGATTCCTCAGCACTACATAAGCAAAAAGAAAAAAGCCAGAAGTGGCGCTATGGCTCAAGTGGTAGAGTGCTAGCCTTGAGCTGAAGAGCTGAGGGATAGTGCCCAGGCCCAGAGTTCAGGCCCCACAACCGGACCAAAAAAAAAGAGATAGTTTAAAGAATAGCAAATACATAAACCAATATATGCTAATTTGTCACCACCACAAACAACCCTGACATCTCCAAAAATTTTCTCTTGCTAATTTTCACCTGATACTGCAGACTAGTTCTTTCTCCAAGTGTCATCATTCACTCTTCTGAAATGGAGACTCTCTCTGGGATGGCTAGTCTCCCTTCCTTTCCCTCCCCTCTTCCTTCCCCTGCGGCCCCCCCCCCCCACTTCTCTCTCTCCCTTTCTTACTGAGGCTTGAATTGAAGGTCTCAGGCTCTTTTTGCTTGAGGCTGAAGTTGTATGACTTCCACATGCCCACTTCCAGCATTTTGCGTGTTAATCAGAAATAATGCATCTCACAGATGTTTTAATTAATTAATTAATTAGTTTTTGGCCTGGGCTGACTTCAAACTACAGTCCTCAGATCTCAGACTCCTCAGTAGCTGGGATTATAGTATGTGTCACCAGCACTAGGCCCTCTTATTTTCTTACAGAGGGAATATAGCCATGGTAACAGCAGGGGAGAGTCACTACACTTTTGTCTAATGGGAGCATGTGTCCCTTCCACTTGTTCTTCCTCAATGTTAGCCATGTGGCCACCACAGGCTCAATAGGGGGCTGTGAAACACAGGCACAGGTACTGGCTAAATGTTTAATCCCCTTACATAATGCAGTT